TTTAGAAGGTTTTAATATTAAACCATCAGTATTACAACATCTAAAATATATCATAAACTATTTATAGAATAATCTGATCATCAATAGCTGTAGCAGGTTTAGAAGGTTTTAATATTAAACCATCAGTATTACAACATCTAAAATATATCATAAACTATTTATAGAATAATCTGATCATCAATAGCTGTAGCAGGTTTAGAAGGTTTTAATATTAAACCATCAGTATTACAACATCTAAAATATATCATAAACTATTTATAGAATAATCTGATCATCAATAGCTGTAGCAGGTTTAGAAGGTTTTAATATTAAACCATCAGTATTACAACATCTAAAATATATCATAAACTATTTATAGAATAATCTGATCATCAATAGCTGTAGCAGGTTTAGAAGGTTTTAATATTAAACCATCAGTATTACAACATCTAAAATATATCATAAACTATTTATAGAATAATCTGATCATCAATAGCTGTAGCAGGTTTAGAAGGTTTTAATATTTAACCATCAGTATTACAACATCTAAAATATATCATAAACTATTTATAGAATAATCTGATCATCAATAGCTGTAGCAGGTTTAGAAGGTTTTAATATTAAACCATCAGTATTACAACATCTAAAATATATCATAAACTATTTATAGAATAATCTGATCATCAATAGCTGTAGCAGGTTTAGAAGGTTTTAATATTTAACCATCAGTATTACAACATCTAAAATATATCATAAACTATTTATAGAATAATCTGATCATCAATAGCTGTAGCAGGTTTAGAAGGTTTTAATATTTAACCATCAGTATTACAACATCTAAAATAAATCATAAACTATTTATAGAATAATCTGATCATCAATAGCTGTAGCAGGTTTAGAAGGTTTTAATATTAAACCATCAGTATTACAACATCTAAAATATATCATAAACTATTTATAGAATAATCTGATCATCAATAGCTGTAGCAGGTTTAGAAGGTTTTAATATTAAACCATCGGTATTACAACATCTAAAATATATCATAAACTATTTATAGAATAATCTGATCATCAATAGCTATAGCAGGTTTAGAAGGTTTTAATATTAAACCATCAGTATTACAACATCTAAAATATATCATAAACTATTTATAGAATAATCTGATCATCAATAGCTGTAGCAGGTTTAGAAGGTTTTAATATTAAACCATCAGTATTACAACATCTAAAATATATCATATACTATTTATAGAATAATCTGATCATCAATAGCTGTAGCAGGTTTAGAAGGTTTTAATATTAAACCATCAGTATTACAACATCTAAAATATATCATAAACTATTTATAGAATAATCTGATCATCAATAGATGTTGGAATTGCAATGTTTTTTTGGAGAAATATCACGGTTTACATCGTTGGAAAGTGTTCGTGTTCTTATGGAAGACGGTAGGCCTTCTATACGTTGTATTATTAAGTCACTTTCTTCTAAGCTAACATCCCTAAAGACTGAACTTACTTCATGATAAGTGTAACATTACTGTAACCAATTCTATCACTGGGACCAACTGGTCCTGTACTTAAAGTTGCAACAGCTGCTTCTAAGTCAGGGTGGGTTTCAGTCTTATCTATATCACAAAAAAATCGAAAATAAATTTTTCATTCCATATGACCACTCTCATGAAGACCCGATGCCACTCAATGACTCTATGGGCCCGTCCTCTTGCTCCTTTCCTCGAGTCCACATAGCTAATGAATATCATTTAGGTACTTCAATTACAGAAAAAAGACAAAATTAGCTACAAAGTCGACTCACTGTAAGAGTTTTCAGGTTGAATTCCAATTGTCCAGAAATTGTCTTTGAAAGGTCTAATACCCATTGCTTGAGCAAATATTGATGAAACACCAATTTTCCATTGATCAATACCAGGCTGATAATCACCACTTACTCGCGCCTAAATCATTCATTAGTTATATTAAATGTCTTACATTCCAAGATAATTCTTGTTTTTAAGAACTTATAATATTCTGAAATAAATTCTGCTTCAAGCCGTATTGAGCACAAAATGGAAATACCCAGCAAATTTATGACCAAATGAAGCATGATTTTAATACAAATCTGTAACTTACTTGAGTTACTATTGGCAGTTCTAAGGTTTGCATAGCTTCTTTTGTATTAGACATGCAATACTGCATAGTCATTCCATGCTTTTTGGCTGCTGATGCTATTTGTGTCAACCACATAGTACCCAAATCTATTTGGGTCAACAAAGCGTTTAAGGTTTTGAATTCAACATTTAACCAATCCTGGAAGCATACATTGTAATTAAGATATTTCTTCAAAGACATTTGATGTTTTATGCAGCTGTAGTTGAAATAGAACACAGCGTGGGTAACACAAATCACAACTTTATTCGGAGTACCATGTATTAAAGGGATAGATTCGACGGTTTGTCGGGGTTTGAATGGCTTGATTAATGAGATTCGTGACCTGTTGCTGGCACATAATTCGGCGTTTTATTGTAGCTATCAATCAGTTTTCAAACCAAGGCTAATTACCTGTTCATATACAATTAATCCCCATTTTCTGGCTTCACCGAGGAAATAATCCCAGAATCTCTGAAATTGAGTAATGACAAAGAGAGTAACTGTGCTTAAAAAACATTAATGACAATTTGTAAAATGAGAAACATTTTCCCTTTGGCATTGAAAAAAAATTACCTGTTCGATTGGTAGCGCTCTCTCTTTCTCGACGATAAATTCATAATCACCTCCATTTTGTTTAGCATACACTGTATCTGGTGCCCTGTATTGAAAAACAAGTGGTTGCCAAGCAAGATACGCCCACTTCACTGATAAATTTTCAGTATATCAAAGGCTGTCGCCAATCTGTGTCAAATCGTACCAAAAATCTAATTTGTACAAGATATTGGTGATATAATCTAACACACAAAATTTCATAAAATTTTGATACAAACTGCCAACAAAGTTTGATGCATTTTTAAGTCAAGTCAAGGGCAATAACTCAAATTCCGTTCATTGAAAAATCAAATTCATACTTGACCACGATCACATTGTAATAGATGATCACACCAGATTTCATTAATATCAGATGAAAACTGTAGTCTCTATAGTGTTCGCAAACAAATTTTGACGCATTTTTACGAAGTCAAGGGCAATAACTCTAAAACCATTCATCGAAAAATTGTCAAATTCGAACGGAATCAAGATCTCATCATTATAAATGATCAAACCAAATTTCATTTAAATCGTATGAAAACTGTATATAGTCTGTATAATGTGGGCGTTAAAGCAGACTACTTTAATTTAAAATATGAAATTTGCACTCAATTCGGATATGAACTCGCATTTTGTTTGATCTACTTTTATCTTACTCAAACAAGTTTTTTTTTTTAGTCTTAAGCATATGTTTTGTTAAACCTCGACCTCGGCCAATATCTTACCAATATTTGTTCTGTGCTAAAATAGGTAATCCAGTCTTGTTGTATACATATCTAAAATGAAAAAGTAACGAAAATATTGCATGGTTATGTGGTATCGACTTTTTGTTAGGTTTATTATGGGTAAATTACTTTTCAAGTTTTCAATAGACTTGTCTTGTACAGAGTTACTATTCGCACCTGCTGAAAGGTATGACTTGACATCGGTCGCCATTGAGGTACTGAAGAGAGGGATATATTGATCGTTTGTTTGTCAATGAATTAAGAAGTACATATATTCTTTGGTAGCAATTGTTTCAGATGTGGGATTCACCTAATTAACAGTGATGTTGATTGCATTGGTAGCTTTAAAAATTATTTTACTTTGTTATAGAATTGATCATTTTCAAGGAATTTCATGCATTTTAAAGAACATTAAGGGTCTTTTCATGTTTTAATTTTGAATATCATCGACTTACTTAGGCGTTATTAAAGGTACTTACTGCGATCCATGAGGGAATACTTCTGGTTTAGGAGCCCAATCTTTTACCCCGTTATACATTCCCCAAGTATATCGCCAATTATCATACTGAATATACCTACAATTTTACATGTTTTTTTTCTGTATACATCAAATTCTATTGGCAATGTCCGCATCGCCATACTCTTTTTCGGTTTTTGATTTTACTAAATTGAGGAATGAATTGTATTAAAAGGTTTAAAATTGAAATATTTCCAAGCTCAACTGTGTATTTTATAAACTTCTTTATGATTTATATTTACAAAATATTTTAGTTTTGTAATATTATAATGTTTTGAACTTACCTATAAGGAACTTTGATTTCGTCAATATAAGTCTTGATATCTATTATTGTGTCTTCATAAGTTTTATTTTTCTCTGTCATAACATAATAGTATGCCCCTAATAAAATAGGAATACGAATTACATAAATTATTGTACCCATATTTTCGCATTTTTCAAACATTAATTATCGAACTCGAATTTTTATTCATCTGTAATGTGCATGGGTTAGATCTAACCTTGTTTTCTTCATTGTTACTGCAGTAGTTTCAACTAATATTTGGAATTTGAGTGAACTATCCCATGGAAAATTTTGTTTAAGTGACGCCTCTTACCGTTGTCTGTCCAGAAACCTAAATAATTTACTGTTAAATCACTCAGTACATAAGAGTCATGTCTTCCATGTCGATATCGTAAGTATTCACCCCATCCATCAAACGCCTAGAAAAACATGGATGAGAACGTTATTATATTTCAGATGGAAGACTTGCTGTAGAGGAATTTGATATTTCCCTATTATTGAATCACAAAAAAGTTCCATAAGAGTAGGGACGCAGGATTGAATATGTCAGTCGTCTGAGGATCGCTTAGCGTGAAACTCTGAGTAACATGTTTCAGGTTCTGTGGTTATATTTGTTTATCGCTCCATGAATTTATTTTTGCTCCATTATATGAATATACGTGACTTGGTATACCTTATTAATACCTTGATCACTATAATATACCACAGTTTCCATCTGATAATCTTCTGGTACTTCATCTACTAACCCCATGGTACCCCAGTGTAGAGCTCCATTAGTTTCACTGACTGATTCGTGCCACACTGATGTTGACATAAATCTGTTAGCTGGTGAAAATACCACAGCATTACCAGAATTGTCATAAACAGCGTAAGGTCCTCCCTCGACACCAAAATTAATACTTTTTCCACTTGAATCATATCTAAAAGCAGAATGTAAGCATAACTCTTGATTGGCTACTACCTGTTGTTTTTTTTACCTATGTTCGATTGACATAAATGTTATAAAGTATTACAGTACTTTCTTTCTTAAACATGACAGGAACTAATTATGAAATCGGTACTAATAAACTGATGGAACTGAGGGTCTTTCAGAGCTTGGCATTACAATACTAAACAAAAAAAAAAACATTACCTTCCTATTTTTCTTGCAGTTTCACCAAACATTAAACCACCATATGACAAGCAACCAAGATTTGGTGGAATAGTGCCATCTAGTGTGAACCCAGGAAAGGAGGAAATGGTTGCCTCCGCATCACCAGATGATGTGTTATGGGCACCATTGACATATTTCTAAACAATGTAAAATTGTGATAAAACTCATACAGTAATGATTTGTTACATTAGTCATAAGGAAGAACATCTTTGTGCTAAACAGTCGAACACTAAAATAGATAATGTTTTTTTTATACAAAAATACTTATGAAAACTGGACATATTCTGTCAGAAACTAGTAAATAAACTATAGTATGCATAAAACCAACCTGGCCAAATACAATCAGTGGTAACCTGGGATACTGGTACGTCTTAATATAGGTAATAATATTCACATTACCAGCTTGATAGTTAAAATTAGTACTAGACCATCGACCTATTTCATCACTACCTTCATCAGATGTAGTTGTTGTTAGTTTCAGATCTTTACCACTAACAAATTTATGACCATCAGTAAAGAAGAATGTAGGAGCACTGTTAAACCATGTTATATTATTGATACTGATTGAATAACTACCATCAGATGATGTTTTGATCGAGAGTCCATCAGAAGATGATAAGCTTGGTTTAGGTATCAGTGGTTCTGCAGTACGGAAAACGGACAAAGAGTGAAACCAATAATAAAAACAAAAATTAGTAGCCATAGGAAAATTGGTTCCTTTGAATGAATTTTCGACAAAAATAGTTTAACTGCAGATTCTAATTACGTTTATTAATTTTTAAATTTAAGAAAAAGTATGTTTTTAATGCTCACCCGAATTTGTTACACAGAAAACAAAACAGCAAATAAATAACAATTTCAGCATGTTTTTAAAGTATCTCTGTGAATAAACCACAGACTGACTGCCTATGATTAGAATAGGCCAAAATATATATAGGGCAAGGTTGCGTTTTATCATTTTTTATCATCACGAATTGATAATATGGCGACCTTATCTGTTGCATGATCGAAGTATGCAGTTATTTCGACATGTATTTTAAAGGGACAGTCTGGTTTTTTACAGACGTCATAAAGTGAAACAAAACATTAACAAAAACTATAAACCGATATCTAGATATGCTCCTTACTTTATCTTAAAGTTAAAAACTATCTAAAAGGTTAACTTCAAAATTAACGCCGAAATGTAAGGTAATATTATCCTTAAGAACACAAATTACATGGAGATACTACTTCTAGGTTTATTACATACTACGCTTCGAAACACATACAGGTAACGTTATCAAGTAAAATGATTAACAACGGTAGGTAGGTAGGTAGATGACAAGTTAACGTTTGCTTCCAGTGGATGCTGATATCGCAAACTAGGTAGTTGTTGGTAGTCGTTGTAGTTGGTAGTTGGATTGGTTCGAATTGGATGATTCTGTGTTGTTGGTTTGGTTGTTGATTCTTCATTAGATCTGGTGGGGTCGAATGACATGGCGGTGAAACTCGGTCCTGGATGGTGTGGCGTAAGTTACTCGATCTCCTTCATTCTTCCAAACTCGTTCTGATCATGGTATTTCTTGTTGATTGGTAGTTGAATGGTAGTCGTTGGTTTGGTTTGGTTTCGGTAGATTATCTGTTATCTGTTGGAAAACTAGAAGACCTGAAAAGAAAAAGAAAAAAAAAAGATTAACAACCAAACAACACAAGATCTATAGGTAAATCAATAGAAGCCATAAAGGGATGTAACAATAACAATCATTATTAAAGATGTGCATTTAATAACAGCAGAGGATAGAAAAAAGAAATTACTTGAAACCAATAACAGTATAAACTGTATTATCCTATTTATTTTAGAGGTTTCAACTAATATTATATAATGTTCGTATCTGAATCTAGTTCGTATGTCTTCATATTGTCTGATTACAGTGTGTCAAGCATGGATTTGAAAGAATTTTAGAGCAAGGTTAAGCCTTATAACAACTATCTTCATATAATAACGTTTATATTTTATTAAAGACTTGTTTTAAAGGTTTTACAGATGCGCCATTCTTTTTGACCAATCATACTTTAGTCTGAGAAATATAGACAACAATCAAAGATAAACAGGGTTTCTAATTACACAGTTGAATAATGATGTAAAATAAATTACTGGTCAGTGTCCATCACAGAGTTCCTTGGGGAGAAGTTATTGTGTATGATTTAATATTGCTGACAGGCTCCGCCCACAAGTCACAAAAAGATAATGCAATCGAGATAAAACACGTTCGCTAATGCAATGTAGAAGATACCAAGACGAAGATGTAATGTAACTAGTGCAATGTAAAAGACGCAAAGACAATAATGCTTTGTTCAATGTACAATTTCGAAAGTGAAAGGACATTGCACGTATCATTTTAGGTATTGTGTCGGCGGTTTTATGTAATTTAACATTAGCATTGTGAATTAGACGTATTATGACATAAGTAAAAGAGGTATTTTGTCTTTGAACATTGCACAGATGTATCGTGTCGTATGTATTAGACATAAGTACATAGCATCAAATTCTGAATACGATTGACCTCCATAAATCTTTAGATAATTAAACAAACTTATTAAACCACCAGTATGACAAGATCTAAAATAATACATGAAATATTCATAGAATATTCTGATCATCAATAGCTATATCATTACAACACGTAAAACAAAGATCAAGATTCGTGAACGCAAGTCTTATAATCTGAATCAATTTCATGTTTCAAGGGAATATTTCAAGGGAAGTAACTCGTAACAAAATTGTAATTTTTTCAGAGAAATAGATCAATGTAACAAACTTTCAACAAAGTAAAAATGTGTTGTTGTTTGATCTTTTGAACATTTTCAATCTTATAAAAACGTTAATTGACTCGGAAGATTAATCGTAATTTTTACATACCTAATGGTTAATGGTTCAGATCTGCCAAATTTCATTTAAATCGGATGGAAACTGTAGTTTCTGTTATCTTCACAAGCCAATTGTGAACGGACGGACATTATAATTCGTATAAAAACTCATCATTCATCAAAATTTGACGCGTTTTTCCTGAGCCAAGAGCAATAACTCAAAAACCGCTCATCGAAAAATCATCAAATTCAAACTTGACCAAGATCTCATCATGATAAATGATCACACTAAATTTCATTTAAATCGGATGAAAACTGAAGTCTCCATTGTGTTCACAAATGAATTTTGACGCGTTTTTCTTAAGTCAAGGACAATAACTCAAAACCGTTCATCGGAAAATCAGCAAATTCGAACTTGTCCAAGATCTCATCATTATAAATGATCACACTAAATTTCATTTAAATCGGATGAAAACTGAAGTCTCCATTGTGTTCACAAATGAATTTTGACGCGTTTTTCCTAAGTCAAGGACAATAACTCAAAACCGTTCATCGAAAAATCAGCAAATTCAAATTTGACCAAGATCTCATCATGATGAATTGTCACACCAAATTTCATTTTAATTGGATGAAAACTGTAGTCTCTATTGTGTTCACAAACAATTTTGACGCGTTTTTCTAAGTCAAGGGCAACAACTCAAACACCGTTCATCGAAAGTTCGTCAAATTCGAAATTGTCCAAGATCCCATCAATATAAATGATTAAACAAATTTTCATTAAAATCAGGTAAAAACTGTAGTCTCTATTGGACGGACGGACCGACGGACATTATAATGTGAGCGTATTAAAACTCATCATTCAGCCTTACACAGTTTCTTCTCCCAAACATGTAACCCAAGATCAAGGAAATTATCATTATCAATTAAGAGGCCAATCGTTCAGATCATAAAACTAATTTGTCAAGACGAAGATCATTATTCTTGTCATTATTTTTAAATATGCGATTCACCATTATCAAGTAGATTTATTCATTTAAGCAAATCGAAATTGGTAAACATATCGATGACAATATAAAATTTTAAATTAAAAGATAAAAATGATGATTTAATTATGGAAGAAATGAAATAAAATTTGAAATAATGAGTAGTTTATTTATATAAAATCTTACACGAATAAATAACAATTCAAATACAATATCATATCACACAGGAAAAGTAATAAATATACAATGGATTAATGGTTAAAAACAAAATATATTGTTTTCACAATCTCTATAAGAGAATTAATAAGAAACACATACTAATCAATATCGATAGATAATAGTTGTTTGACTAGGTAACGATACATTTAGAAGCAAGAACATGCATACGACCTGAACCACTGGTACCTAATGCACAATTAATAGTATTGGTTTGTCCATCAATATTAAAATAGAATGGAACTGATTCTCCTGGTTGACCAGTTATATCTATTGTTAACTCATTAGAATCTTGATTTATTTGAGTTACTCGTTGTGGGGATACTGGTACCCATTTAGAAATCTCTCCTAATATTACTATCTTGTGGTTGCTGAAAGCAAAGAAAATTCGATGGTTAATGAATGAAATGCTAACCATAACCAAAATAAACCCTTCATACACCTGAGTCGTGAAAACCAGATGGTAAATATACCAATATGATTGCGGATATAAATAAATGAGTGTCCAATTTGAATCTAAGTTTCAATGCCTTTAAGTTATTTTTCAACAAAATTCACCTATAACAGCAAATATAAATATATTGCGATGACCTACTGATACCCCACCTACCCTATAGTAAGGACTGGTGATACATAATACAAACAGAAATCTACTTTTGTACAACCAGTTGTTATGTCTATTGTTGAAATGTTAGAGAACACTGTTAAACTTGTAGGCCTATCCATTTCAAATACCACCAATTCTTCAATCTAAGATAGAGAAGTTGATTTCGATTCATAAAAGGGTCAAATGAGGGCATTTACAACTGGAATGTGAATAGTTAAAAAAGGCGTTAAATTGAAAGAAAAAAATTTTCTATATTTCCTGTATTAACAAAAGTCCTCTTATCCCAATTATATCAATTGTTTGAAATATTTATATGATAGAACAGAGAAAATAAATTTAGAATTTTGTTGTTTATGGAATGAACGAGATTTCATATTACTTACAGTATCAAATCCAGCCTTGAAAGGTGTCAAACTATAAACATTGGACATGTTAGCTGCTAAAATAATACCAAAGTATATTTCACCAATTTTAGAATAAGTTGACCATACTTCACCTTCAGGACCTCCGCTACCTAAAGCTGACTGAAATGTATTTAAATAAACAATATTAACTTGATGATTTATATATTCAGTCTAGACCATTATCTATACAGTTTAATTAAATTGAGAAATAAACAATAACCCGAACGGTGCACTAACCTGAATAATCTGATCATCAATAGCTGTAGCAGGTTTAGAAGGTTTTAATATTAAACCATCAGTATTACAACATCTAAAATATATCATAAACTATTTATAGAATAATCTGATCATCAATAGCTGTAGCAGGTTTAGAAGGTTTTAATATTAAACCATCAGTATTACAACATCTAAAATATATCATAAACTATTTATAGAATAATCTGATCATCAATAGCTGTAGCAGGTTTAGAAGGTTTTAATATTAAACCATTAGTATTACAACATCTAAAAAATATCATAAACTATTTATGGAATAATCTGGTCATCAATAGCTGTAGCAGGTTTAGAAGGTTTTAATATTAAACCATCAGTATTACAACATCTAAAATATATCATAAACTATTTATAGAATAATCTGATCATCAATAGCTGTAGCAGGTTTAGAAGGTTTTAATATTAAACCATCAGTATTACAACATCTAAAATATATCATAAACTATTTATAGAATATTCTGATCATCAATAGCTGTAGCAGGTTTAGAAGGTTTTAATATTAAACCATCAGTATTACAACATCTAAAATATATCATAACCTATTTATAGAATATTCTAATCATCAATAGCTGTAGCAGGTTTAGAAGGTTTTAATATTAAACCATCAGTATTACAACATCTAAAGTATATCATAACCTATTTATAGAATAATCTGATCATCAATAGCTGTAGCAGGTTTAGAAGGTTTTAATATTAAACCATCAGTATTACAACATCTAAAATATATCATAACCTATTTATAGAATATTCTGATCATCAATAGCTGTAGCAGGTTTAGAAGGTTTTAATATTAAACCATCAGTATTACAACATCTAAAGTATATCATAACCTATTTATAGAATAATCTGATCATCAATAGCTGTAGCAGGTTTAGAAGGTTTTAATATTAAACCATCAGTATTACAACATCTTAAGTATATCATAAACTATTTATAGAATAATCTGATCATCAATAGCTGTAGCAGGTTTAGAAGGTTTTAATATTAAACCATCAGTATTACAACATCTTAAGTATATCATAAACTATTTATAGAATAATCTGATCATCAATAGCTGTAGCAGGTTTAGAAGGTTTTTATATTAAACCATCAGTATTACAACATCTTAAGTATATCATAAACTATTTATAGAATAATCTGATCATCAATAGCTGTAGCAGGTTTAGAAGGTTTTTATATTAAACCACCAGTATTACAACATCTAAAATATATAATAAACTATTTATAGAATAATCTGATCATCAATAGCTGTAGCAGGTTTTGAAGGTTTTAATATTAAACCATCAGCATTACAACATCTAAAATATATAATAAACTATTTATAGAATATTGTGATCATCAATAGATGTTGGAATTGTAATATATTTTGGAGGAATATCATGGTTTAAGTCGTTGGAAAGTGTTTGCAGGTTCATATGACTCTGTCTGAAATTCTTGTTCTTCTAGAGTACAGTAGGCCTTCTATACATAGTTATTAAGTCACTTTCTGCGAAGTTAACATACTCAAAGACTGAACTTACTTCATGATAAGTGTAACATTACTGTAACCAATTCTATCACTGGGACCAACTGGTCCTGTACTTAAAGTTGCAACAGCTGCTTCTAAGTCAGGGTGGGTTTCAGTCATATCTATATTACAAAGGAAATTGAAATTAAATTTTTTATTCCATATCTAAATCAGAGATTTAGGCAAAGACTTTTTTTCTGGATTTTAGTTTGCTTACAAAGGTGTTATCGTTAATGGTGTTAATTTCGACCTTTTTTGAGAGAACGTCCAGATGCACAGTTTATAGAAATGCGGGGCTCGCTTTCTAACTTTCATTAAACAACAGTATCTCCGTGGCTTTAAGCTACTGAGGACATCAATTATTGTCGCTTACGAAGTAGATGATTCTCACCACTCTCATGAAGACCCGATGCCACTCAATGACTAAATGGGTTTGTCCTCTTGCCCTTTCCTCGAGTCCACATAGCTAATGAATATCATTTCAATTACAGAAAAATACTATATATATCAGCTTCAAAGTCGACTCACTTACTGTAAGAGTTTCCAGGTTGAATTCCAATTGTCCAGAAATTGTCTTTGAAAGGTCTAATACCCATTGCATGAGCAAATATTGAGGTAACACCAATTTTCCATTGATCAATACCAGGCTGATAATCACCACTTACTCGAGCCTAAATCATTCAATTATTATCTAATGTCTAATATTTGATATAATTTATAGTATCTTTAATTATGGTGCGTGTAGTTTGGGTTAGGTGTTGTTTTAAAGGCTAAGTTCTATCAGTGTCAATTATTTTAAAGATCACTTTCAGTTTTAATCTCTTCCACACTGGTTTAGATGCATATCAGAAATTAACTGTAGTTGAACTATTTAAACACAAAATGAAAATACCCATTCGAATTTATGACCAAATGAAGCATGATTTTAATACAAATCTGTAACTTACTTGAGTTACTATTGGCAGTTCTAAGGTTTGCATAGCTTCTTTTGTATTAGACATGCAGTACTGCATAGTCATTCCATGCTTTTTGGCTGCTGATGCTATTTGTGTCAACCACATAGTACCCAAATCTATTTGGGTCAGCAAAGCATTCAAGGTTTTGAATTCAATATTTAACCAATCCTGGAAGCATACATTGTAATTAAGATATTTCTTCAAAGACATTTGATGTTTTTTGCAGCTGTAGTTGAAACTTTATTAACTCAGACACACAGCGTGGGTAACAAGAAATCACAATATACAGAGACAAACTTTTGCAAAAGGAAAGACACGGATAATTCTGGACACATAAGGATTTGAAGGCCAATTTTTTTGTGAACTCTACTACTGATTAGCTTGACTGAAAAAAATTCTTTTTCCGAGACGAAGGTACGATTGGATGGCGAACCCGGCATAATTTGAATGGCTAGATTAATAAGTTTCATGAACTGTTGCTGGCTATCAATCTGTTTTCAGACCAACACAATAATTACCTGTTCATAAACAATTAATCCCCATTTTCTGGCCTCACCGAGGAAATCATCCCAGAACCTCTGAAATGGAGAAATGACTTTAACTGTGCTTAAAAAACAATTTTGACAATTTGTAAGATAGATTGCCAGGCAAGGTAATATACGCCCACTGGCAGCTTTGATTTTGATAAAAATATTTAGCAGTACAGTAACAATCACCAGTATGAAATATTCAACCTTCAGTCATACACTTCTTTTGAACTCTTTAGGGCGATACTGAATAATATTGAGTATGAGTTAGTGTCCTTGTCCTTGAGTATGAGTTAGTGTCCTTGTCCTTAAAAACATGTTCAATCTTTAGCTCGTGAAAACTCAAGAAGACAAATATTCAATCTTCAGCGCAGTACTGAATTATAAAACCAAGTTTTGTCAAAATCCGGCAAGAATCATGCCTTATAGTGTTTTTACGAGCTACACATTGAACGAGTTTTCAAGAACAATAACTCATACTAAATATTTTTCGATTTTTCTGATTTTCAATAGGGTTCATCCTTGTGTGATCACAAACACTCACACCAAGTTTCCCCAAAATCCGCCAAGAATTGTCCCTTCTAGAGTGTTTACAAGCTAAAATTTGAACGCGTTTTCAAGAACAAGGGCAATAACTCATATTCAATATTTTTCGATTTTCTGATTTTCAATAGGGTTTATCCATGGGTGATAACCAACACTCATGCCAAGTTTCGTCAAAATCCGTCAAGAATTGTGCCTTCTAGAGTGTTTACGAACTAAACATTGAACGCGTTTTTTCTGATTTTCGATAGGGTTTATCACTCACACAACGTTTCGTCAAAATCAATCTTGAATTGTGCCTTCTAGGGTGTTTACAAGCTAAAATTGAACGCGTTAATAACTCATATTAATTTTTTTGATCTTTCTGATTTTAAATAAGGTTTATCCTTGGGTGATAACAAACACTCACACAAAGTTTCATCAAAATCCGCCATGAATTGCACCTTCTAGAGTGTTTACGAGCGTTTCAAGAACAAGGGCAATAACTCATATTAATATAAATATATTATAAATATTTTTGATTTTTCTGATTTTCAATAGGGTTCATCCTTTGGTGATTACGAACAACCATACCAAGATTCGTCGAAATCAGTCAAGAATTGTGCCTTGTAGAGTGTTTACGAGCAATTGTGGACGGACGGACGGACATGAGTGACGGCAATATACGCCCCCATTTCATGTGGGCGTATAAAAATGAGAAACATTTCCCCCCTTGGCATAGAAAAAAAATTACCTGTTCAATTGGTAGAGCTCTCTCTTTCTCTACGATAAATTCATAATCACCTCCATTTTGTTTAGCATACACTGTATCTGGTGCCCTGTATAGAAAATAATGATCAAATAGCATTTCCAAACCAGTACTTTTACTTTAAATTATGAAATTTACACTCAATTCGGATGTGAACTCGAATGTTTTGTCAACTTTTATCTTACTCAAACAATTTTTTTTTACTTCTTCAGCATATAAAGGTTAACGTTTTGTTAAACCTCGGACCTCGGCCAGTATCTTACCAATATTTGTTCTGTGCTAAAATAGGTAATCCAGTCTTGTTGTATACATATCTAAAATGAAAAAGTAACAACAATATTTCATGATTATGTTGTATCGACTTTTTTATTAAGTGTAAATTATTTTTTACTAACAAGAGGGATATATTGATCGTTTATTTGTCAATGAATTAAGAAATACATATATTCTTTGGGAGCAATTGTTTCAGATGTTAGATTCATCTAACAGGATGTTATTGTAAAATGACTCTTTTGCTCTAATGTTCATTGCTTAGGTAGCTTTAAAAATCATACATTCATTGTTATAGAATTGATCCTTTTCAAGGAATTTCATACATTTTAAAAAATATTAAGGGTCTTTTCATGTTTTAATTTTGAATATCATCGACTTACTTAGGCGTTATTAAAGGTACTTACTGCGATCCATGAGGGAATACTTCTGGTTTAGGAGCCCAATCTTTTACCCCGTTATACATTCCCCAAGTATATCGCCAATTATCATACTGAATATACCTACAATTTTACATGTTTTTTTTCTGTATACATCAAATTCTATTGGCAATGTCCGCATCGCCATACTCTTTTTCGGTTTTTGATTTTACTAAATTGAGGAATGAATTGTATTAAAAGGTTTAAAATTGAAATATTTCCAAGCTCAATTGTGTATTTTATAAACTTCTTTATGATTTATATTTACAAAATATTTTAGTTTTGTAATATTATAATGTTTTGAACTTACCTATAAGGAACTTTGATTTCGTCAATATAAGTCTTGATATCTATTATTGTGTCTTCATAAGTTTTATTTTTCTCTGTCATACGAAAATAGTATGCTCCTAATAAAAGAAGAATTCGAACTGACAAGACAAGACATAAATTAATGTACCCATATTTTCGCACTTTTCAAACCTTATTTACCGAACTCAAGTTTTATCTTAATTTATCTGTAATGTGCATGGGTTAGGTTTAACCTTGTTTTCTTCATTGTTACTCCTGGAGTTTCAACTAATATTTGGAATTTTAGTGAACTTCATTTTACTCTGTCAAGGTTGTTACGCATGAAGTAAACTTTCCCATGTAAAGTTTTGTTTAAGTGACGCCTCTTACCCCTATCTGTCCAGAAACCTAAATAATTTACTGTTAAATCACTCAGTACATAAGAGTCATGTCTTCCATGTCGATATCGTAAGTATTCACCCCATCCATCAAACGCCTAGAACAAACATATAGGATGAGAACGTTATTATATTTCAGATGGAAGACTTGCTGTAGAGGAATTTAATAATTCCTATTATTGAATCACAAAAAAGTTCCATAAGAGTAGGGACGCAGGTTTGAATAGGTCAGTCGTCTGAGGATCGCTTAGCGTGAAACTCTGAGTAACATGTTTCAGGTTCTGTGGTTATATTTGTTTATCGCTCCACAATTTACGTATTGAGCACGATGAATTTATTTTTGCTCCATTATATGAATATACGTGACTTGGTATACCTTATTAATACCTTGATCACTATAATATACCACAGTTTCCATCTGATAATCTTCTGGTACTTCATCTACTAACCCCATGGTACCCCAGTGTAGAGCTCCATTAGTTTCACTGGCTGATTCGTGCCACACTGATGTTGACATAAATCTGTTAGCTGGTGAAAATACCACAGCATTACCAGAATTGTCATAAACAGCGTAAGGTCCTCCCTCGACACCAAAATTAATACTTTTTCCACTTGAATCATATCTAAAAGCAGAATGTAAGCATAACTCTTGATTGGCTACTACCTGTTGTTTTTTTTACCTATGTTCGATTGATATAAATGTTATAAAGTATTAAACATGACAGGAACTTGTTATGAAATCGGTTCTAATAAACCGATTGAACTGAGGAGCTTCGGAGCTTGACATTACAATACTATACAAGCAATGTTGAATACCTTCCTATTTTTCTTGCAGTTTCACCAAACATATAACCACCATAGGATAAGCAACCAAGATTTTGTGGTATGGAATCATCTAGTGTGAACCCAGGAAAAGAAGAAATGGTTGCCTCCGCATCACCAGATGATGTGTTATGGGCACCATTGACATATTTCTAAACAATGTAAAATTGTGATAAAACTCATACAGTAATGATTTGTTACATTAGTCATAAGGAAGAACATCTTTGTGCAAAGTCCATCCCTAAAAGTGTCTGATCACCATTATTTACAAGGATCACCTTTACTTTTAAGCGCCCCGTGTGCTACAGGCAAAAGATCCATCGACAGTTGGAAACCGAAAAAGAGCAGGCTAATGGCACTGACCTGGCAAAATTTCCCTCATTGCACCCTGCATGGCGTTGCCCGTCTTCATTAGCCCACATGGTGCAGAAAAGTAGATCGTAAAACTCAAAATTCATTTCATTTCATTTTTTACTTTTAACCAAACATATTCATCAAAATTTACTGGTAGAATGGACACGAGATAGTAAGCATAAACCAACCTGGCCAAATATAATCAATGGCAATTTGGGATAGTGGTACGTCTTAATATAGGTAATTATATTCACATTACCAGCTTGATAGTTAAAATTAGTACTAGACCATCGACCTATTTCATCACTACCTTCATCAGATGTAGTTGTTGTTAGTTTCAGATCTTTACCACTAACAAATTTATGACCATCAGTAAAGAAGAATGTAGGAGCACTGTTAAACCATGTCATATTATTGATACTGATTGAATAACTACCATCAGATGATGTTTTGATCGAGAGTCCATCAGAAGATGATGAGCTTGGTTTAGGTATCAGTGGTTCTGCAGTACGGAAAACTGAGATAGAATTCAACCATTAATGAACCTTTATCAACAAAAATCAATAAGCACAAGCAAATTTTACTCCCTTCAATGCAACTTTATCAACAAAGGTTATTAAGTTTAAATGGACCTTTATCATACAAAAAAATTAATAACCAAACGCAAACATGACTCCTTTGAATGAATTTTCAGCCAAAAGGAAATAGTTTAACTAGAGATTCTAATTACATTTAATAATTAAGTCTTAATTTTTAAAAAAAAGTATGTTTTTAATGCTCACCCGAATTTGTAACACAGAAAACAAAACAAATAAATAACAATGTCAGCATGTTTTAAAGTATCTCTGTGAATAAACCACAGACTGGCCATGATTTGAATAGGCCAAAATATATATCGAACAAGGTTGCATTTTATCAACTGATAACGAATTGTTAATATGGCGACCTTAAAGATGGATTTCCTTATTTTGAATGTCAAATTAAGCAAACTACAATTGTATTTGTATTAACTGTATTTGATTAATTTGTGTTTCTAATGAATTATCATGTACTCTTAATCATTATGTGCTTATTGCATATAGTTAAGAGTTTTAACCTTTTAATGTCCATGTATGTACAGTCTGGATAACCAAAAACAAATTAGGTAATTCTCTTCTAATTTAGCTAATCATGGAACCCATCTTTACTGTCGAACAGACGTATGCAGTTATTTCGATATGTACTTAAAAAGGAAATGTGTGCCATTATTTTTTTTTTGACCAATGCTACTTTATATTCAGAAACCGGAATTTTTTAGATAAGTCAATCGGTAATAATAGTGTTCACAGATCAACGTCGAAATTTGTGCCTTCAAATCCATGTGTGTCCGAAATTATCCGCGACTGAATGTTAAAATGACTACTCGTCCTTACTTTATCTGACACATTAACTTTTTACATTTTTGTGGGATGTACAAATTTAAGCAAATAAATGCCAAATTGTAAGGAAATAAGGAAGGAATGAAGTAAGTAATAAGGGTTCAACTAATATTATATAATGTTCGTATCTAAATCTAGTTCGTATGTCTTCATATTGTCTGATTACAGTGTGTCAAGGATGGATTTGAAAGAATTGTAGAGCAAGGTTAAGCCTTATCACAACTATCTTCAAATCACAACGTTATATTATTTTATTAATTTATTTAAGATTTGTCTTTAACTTATCCAAATTTATTCACAGCAAACTTTTGTCCCCTAACATAAGTACGGTAGAATAAGGAGACAAATATTCACTGGAAGTTTTTGGATAAGGTTTAAACAATTCTTTAATAAAATATGAACTTTATCCCCTTACGAGAGGTTGGTTGAGGACTAATTGCATAGATTGAAGACCACTGTTATCTAAGTGTTTCTATTTTTTTCTTATTCTTAAATTCTTAGATAATTAAACAAAGCAAGCCATTACAAAATTTACTAAGTATATGAGGGGATGCGGAATATCGACAAAACAGGCCCCCAGGGAAGTTTAAAGTATGGATTTACCAACACGGACTCTACCACTTTTAGCCTGGCCTCTGAAGCTCGACGAGATTTCTGTGTCAACTGTTGAAAAAGATGGATCGAATTGGCAATAGGATTGTAGCTCCTCAAAACTTCTCTTCAATAGGCCTTTACAGCAGGTCATCGACGTTTCAACTTCCATTAACATCGAGTCTAAAACCGGGAAGGCAAGATTGATCATGATTCCAAAGATGACAAAGTACGGTTAGCATTTGATTCGAACTAGGAGGAAATGGCCAGCATCAAAAGCAGTTGATGAGGTCGAGAGCCGGTTAAGGCAAATAGATACCGTGGAAATAGTGGCAGTAGAACGACAAGGCATGGTACTAAAAGAAGAGTATACCGAGCTAGGGGTGAAATACGCAATGAAGGATGGCCTCAGCAGAGGACATCGGCGGTGTAGCAGTAGAAACAACATAGCTGTACATAAAAAACCAAAACAAAAAACCATTTATTTTCAAAGCACATAAAATCATATTAAAAACCAGTGGTATAACAACAAATACCACTCTGAATGGTTGTATCGCTTTTTATTTGTATTTTGTCAACCTTTTAGTTCCATCTAAATCATTGTTGGAAGGTTCTGAAGGATTTCGATTACATATTAGTATCAATAATATAACATGGTTTAACAGCGCTCCTACATACTTCTTTACTGATGGTCATAAATTTGTTAGTGGTAAAGATCTGAAACTAAGAACAACTACATCAGGTTCTAGTAGCGATAAAATAGGACTATGGACGAAAATTGATGTTTATTATCAAGTTTGTAGTAGAATTAATAGAGCCTATATCATGAAACTTATCATGATTATTATATACCGTGGTGGTCCGAAGATGTCTCTTTGCAAAAGGAGTTTTGTCCCTTTGAAATCTTATGTCGATTGTACTAAACTGGAAATTTGAAACTTCGCACATTAGGGTTATACAAATGGTGCATAACTACATTAGCTGGTAACACAGATTATACAATCGGTTCATGCTCTAGATTTTAACTAAACCATACAATACCACCAGATTCAGGTTGATTTTCGTATGGTTCTCGTCAGTTTGGATAAATTGCTTTTGTCTTATTATGTGTAGACTTATATATCACGTCATGGTTGAATGTATGTAACTCGGGTAATGGACGTTTTAGTATGGAGCAACATGATTCTATCATTGATATTGGTTGAACCGGTGCCTTTTATTGGGATTTTTATGGGTTTCAGCCTAGAAACAATAATCGTCAGCAGTAATGGTACCTTTTCCGCTCTAATATCCCTCTAGTTTGATTTCAGATGGATCCTTGCCTAATCAAATTATCACCCAACATATTAACTATTTAATGTTACTCTTACGTTATGAGATGAGCTGTAAAGTCAATAATATTTCTCTCTCAACTGGTTTTAACACAGAAAAAGAGCCAGGATGTCTTCGCCACTCTATAGATTATTCGTCTTTTAATCAATCAAATTGTCTTGGATGTCAAACTTTCCCGAATAAATCATTGCATCCACGTGGACAAACTAATATCAACAAGTCAATCACAATTGAGTTTAGAAATTTGTTAATAAATAATATTTTATGTTTTTCCTGTCAGATCAATTCATAACAAACCGTTCATTGACCATGATTCTAAGACATTACATTTGTTGGCTTCATAGAATACCTACAGATCTTAATGAAACCCAATCGGTGCTAAGGATAATGTCACAGCAGGCATAACAAATATATATTTTGTGTCCATCACAACTAATAAATATTCTTAAGCGTGATTTATTTTAGATGTTGTAATACTGGTGGTTTAATATTAAAACCTTCTAAACCTGCTACAGCTATTGATGATCAGATTATTCTATAAATAGTTTATGATATATTTTAGATGTTGTAATACTGATGGTTTAATATTAAAACCTTCTAAACCTGCTACAGCTATTGATGATCAGATTATTCTATAAATAGTTTATGACATATTTTAGATGTTGTAATACTGATGGTTTAATATTAAAACCTTCTAAACCTGCTACAGCTATTGATGATCAGATTATTCTATAAATAGTTTATGATATATTTTAGATGTTGTAATACTGATGGTTTAATATTAGAACCTTCTAAACTTGCTACTTAGCATTAGATAGTCCAAAGATAATATCTTAATATATCTTATATGGTGAAGTAAAATGAGCTTTAGTCCTTAAAACCTAGGCAAACGTATTTAGTATTTAATAATCTGCATAGTTCAGGGATGCCAAAGTTGTTAAACCTAAATATAAGTACTTTCATCGTTCTGACCATAATCCGTATGCTTTAATTGAATAGCCAACTCAAGATCATTGATCGTCAGTATTGAGATTTTTCCGTTAAAATACTTTCAGTCGATGGCATCCTGAACCCGGGGTTACAAATAGGAGGCAGACTGATTTGATTGGGGACATCTGTCGAAGTTGAGATACTTGGAGCTTTCTCCTAAGAAAACTAGAATAGATTCTGACACATTTTTTGGGGCAAAAACGTAGGCCTATAAAAATAATATCTTTAAAATTGTTAACTCTCAAACTTTTTTAATCGAGTATTAACTATGTCATATAATGCCATTTTGTCAATAAGTCTATGTCTTGTACAACACACTTACTGGCATAGGCCGAGATAATTTTTTAACTCGGTTTCCCAATGTCAGTGATACAGGTAAGAGTGGCTGGAACGTCCAGTCGGTCGGATGGGGCCCGTGTGCTTCACGCTGTGCACGTTAAAGATCCCTCGACAGATGGAAATCGAAAAAATGCCGCTGTAAATGTCCCTCATTGCACCCTGTATGGCGTTGCCCCTCTTCATTAGCCCATACGGTGCAGAAAAGTAGGACGTAAAACTCAATTCATTTCATTTCATTTTTGTATGACACAGTTTGGACATGCTACAAAACAAAAGTAGCTACTGACTTAGTCATTGCCCTTAATTTACAAACATGTTTTAGATGGTTTCTGGTTTAGTGTAGTCAAAATGCATAATGCTTGTATTTGTATTTATAATTATTGTATTATCAACTTTCATAAAATACAGTGACGTTCAGTTGTTTAAAACAAGCTTTTGTATTTGCAAGATGTATATCATCCTGATAGCAACGTTATTGCGACATTGCATTTATAAGAGGTTACCAAGAAAATATCATCAACCACACCCCTTTCCAGACGATAGTCTTTGTGTACGTACCTATTGATCAAAATGGCTGATAAGACAGATAAAAGATAAACATTACAATTATGATAAAACGCGTGATGAATTGATAACAAACCTGATGAATACAGGGGGCAAAATGAAGATTCATATTCTTGCAGTCCTTTTCTCGTTTTTTTCAGCAACCAATGCAGGTAAAAAGAAATTCTTTTTTAGAAAAAAACATATTTTAAAAGTTTATAAGGTGTTAAAACATACTTCTAACTATATATATCCAATACACAAATCACAAAGAGGCAAGTATTCAGTTACTAACACTTTCTCGAAAAAAAATCCGACCGTCTTAATAAATATTTAGACGACTTTGCTCCTTATGTTTTAATGACTGCTTGTTCAAAATCGAACTCTTTTGTTGCTTAAGTTTAATATCTTCCTGTTTGAATCTGAGACCAAAACATGAACAATGTTTGTAAACTTTGTAAACATATTCTGATTTCTATTTCACTTTCAGCTACATTACGATTCGTCTCTCAGACTCCTCTCAGTATAACTATCAACAAAGATGGTTCTTATACAGTGAACGTGAATGGTGAACCATGGCTTGAATCATCAGCAATCTACTTCTATGCTGAGGGCAGAAGAGTATCGATGGGAGATGGTTCATTGAAAATTGCCTCTACCTTTATGGATAATGGTTATGATAGTGTAGGCCAGTATGGTAAAACATGTTGGCGATTTGAAATTGAATCTAAATACATTGATACATGTTTTAAACAGTATATGGAACCAACACCTTTTATTATATTTGAGCAGGTTTATTCCTCTTTGTGTTATATTTTATTATTCTCCCATTTCTTAACAAAAAACGAGAGTTCAGTTACAACAACTGCAAAAGCCACATTCTTTTATAAGAGTCCATAGATAAGATATTAAACTGTTCTCGGTTGTCTACATTTTGAAACATCAAATACATTCTAATCCATTGTGCCACACTGATGATGATACTATGATATCTGATAGCTCACTAGGCTGAATTAATATGGTTACTTCTTACAACATCTGGCTTTGTCATTCACTTACATTTGGAATGTTTGATGATGGCTTTGAACAACTGATTTTGGAAATTGACTTATGGATTGCGTTTTCGATAGGTAAAAACTGATTTCTCTGAGTGATTTCCTCTTTGTGGCCTTGGAAACATAAACCGACATTGTTATTTTCAGCACTATTTAAACGATACCGAAAATACAGCATCCATTGACTATGATTATACTATAGCGGGCTTTCCTGCCTTTACTGCACCACCTACTGGTAAACTGGGTTATTTACATTATGCTGGTAGTATGACTGGTGACAGCGATAAATCGTTTGGAATGTAAGCTCTTTTAACTGCAAACTATCTGCTCCTTTTCCTCTCCATACTAAGAAGCACAACATCTCTTAAGGACATGTATATGAACTCAGATTGGCAATCCATCCATACGATGTAGCCGATCGACAAATTAACCAACAGCTAACATCCGACTATTAATATCCTATAATTATTCTATAGATGGCAGGAGAAAGCTAAAATGTTAACGGGGGTAGCTGGAGGTCCGTTGGTTTTATTTGATAAAGATGCAGATGATTGCCTGATTTTATCACCATTGAACCAATTTATGGCAGCATCCAGTTTATTTGACGGTCAGAACTATAGCACTGGTGTCCTAGGTGGAGTCAACTTTGTACCAAAAGATTTTGTTCTGCAGACCGTACTTTTCTATGGAAAGGGTATTAATCATGTATGTAGTTTATTGTACTGAATTATGTAACAAAAATTTATATTATGTATTAAATAACGGAACACAATCTAATTTTAGGTTTATAGTACACTTAGATGCAGAGATAGGAATATAATTGCCAAGTCTGTGTGTACAATAAAGCTATAAAGGACAAGTATACCATAAAATTGTTTTCCGTTATTTTATGTGATCTTTACCCTTAACTATCGCTTAAGTATTATTGTTATGGAGTGAAGCAATATTTACTACACCAGAAAACATTCATGAATGCCTAATATGGCTCTTGCTCGCCTTCAAAAGACGACTGTTTAAATATAATTTTCTTCGTCGTAATGAAATTCCTTTTGGATGCAACATGCTCTTTATATGAAATATTTTAATGTTTTCAGGCAATGTCTGATTGGGGCCTATTATTAACTCAGTATTATGGTAAAGATGATTCTTATAGAAAGAGTGATTTAACATTGAACTATATTGGATATTGGACTGATGGAGGTATGGTGTATATAATGATGTATTTCAAGTCACTATGACCTTTTTCTAATTGATGAAACTGACTGTTAGAGAGTGGGCTATTCTAGACATTGAAAAAGGAAAAATGGCACGTAATTAAGTTTAGTAAAATCAACGACGAGGCCTTAACATGTTTTCTATTGATTACATGTCATTCATTTCATTGTGTTAGAATAGAGTAAACCTTCCAGGAGACTATTATTATGATTCTCTCAATTTCTGTTGGATATATATGACAAGAGTTTCATCACCAGTATAGCTGCAGTACTAATTGTCCATTTTCTTAAATTTGAAACAATTTGAATGAATTCTGCTAAACAGTAATCCGGTATAGTCATGTTAATACCTAAACCTATTTTCAGGTGCTTATTACTATTACAATACAGAACCCAACAAAACGTATCAACAAACTATACTGGATGTTAGACAGAATGCTAAAGATATTGGGATGCCCTACAAGTATGTGCCAAAATGATGACTAATGTATCAGATAAAATCAGATGTATTATTCAGAAGTATGCAACGATATTGCACCAGGTTAATTCATGAACTAAATTATAGATGGAGCATATGAATAATATACTTGTTTCCTGAGATAACAACCTGGAAAAGCCTTAAGTCTAAGCTGGCTTAGTTGATTTTTAAGGAATTGTAGGAGAGCCCAGAGTCAAATGTCACGGTCAGCTGCAATTAAGCTCTGAATATCAGCTTGTAAAGTAAATGCATATGTAACTGTGCCCTTTTTTAGAGGCATAGTTCCTGGAATTAAACTTAAAAGATAGTCTTACAAGTATTATTTTGATAAACCAAAAATCCTTTGATAACATAGAATAATTTCCCTTATTCAGGTTCGTACAATATGATTCATTCTTCTATTATAAAGGACCCCACGGTGGAGTTAAAACCTGGGTCCCAATGCCAGATCTCTTTCCAGATGGATTTCAGTAAGTATAAGATGTCACGAAGGAATTATTAAGAAATTCTGTGAAAAAAAAACAATTACTAATTATATAACCCGATATAAAAACATTAACTGGTTATTCGTTTCTAACCGTTTCAACTTGTATATTGAAGAGCATTCACACACTATAGGAGTGTCGAAACATTATTACAAACATAAGCATCCTTACATAGCAATATAAAGATTATACATGATTAGATGAACATTATGACAAACAATTACTTTGTATGTTATTCCATTGTCTCTTTTTTTAGATATCTTTATAATCAGACCGGTTGGCCTGCTGGTGCTCATAATCGCTGGTGGTAAGAAATCATTTTAATCTTCAGTTATTTTCACAATCCTCTATCCAATTTATGTGACGTGTTGTAGGCTATTGCAAAACTGTTGACTTTATAATGCATCAATTATTTCAAGGTCACCAAAAACAACCTATGCCAGACAAAACGGGGGAAATTTTGATTTTATCGTCGAAGAGGCAAAAGCTGTTCCTACAGACCAGGTAAATATTTATGATTCCGTAGTGCTTTTGTGGTCCTTCTCCTCTTGATACCTGTTCCCAAAACAGATGTGCTTCAATAGAATTATCAAGTCTTCTCTGTTTGAAGAAGAGAAAACTTATCATCTGTCATCCGACTCTCTTTTTTCAGGCTTTTTGGGATTATTTATTTGATAGTTCAAAGAAATGGGGCTTAACACTATACGAGCAGGTATGTAAAACATTCACAAGAATATGTATTTATTTGCAAGTCTAAAACTGGACAGATAATTATAGTTCTTGTTGATGATATAGTTTATCCAGTACATTGTACTTCAATATATTTGTCCTATATTTTGTAGGATTGGTTGGATAATGAATTTGCTGGGGTAAAAGCTTTATTAACACAGATAGATCTGGGTCGAACATGGTTGATGCAGATGGGACGAGCTGCTCAAGAGAATGGTATTACAATTCAATATTGTATGTCTAATCCAAGACATATAATGCAAAGTGTTGAAATACCTGTTGTAACACAGGTGAGGTATTCATTATTCTTGTAATAACTTATAAAGGTCTCCCTTTACCAAATTCCTTTCTAAATAAAGTTCCGTCTGCAAAACTCAACCTGTATGTAAAGATTATTGTGACTTACTAACTTAGGCCCGAGCAAGTGGTGATTACAGAGCTGGTAAAGATAACTGGAAGATTGGAATCAGTTCTATAATGGTAGATGCTCTAGGTGTAGCACCGTTTAAAGATAATTTTTGGTCATCGCCTGATCAACCTGGTAATCCCGCATACCCTGGTAAGTAATAAACCCAAGTAAAGTCTAGTTATTAAATTCAGACTTTGATTTTCTAAGATAAAATTCTCATAATTTTAAAAAGTACAAATTGACATATAAATTTTGGTACGGTTGTACATATTGCCTTCACATATAATCATGTATGATTATTTCAGATCTCAAGGAAACACATGCAGATTTACAAGTAGCTGTATCAACATTAAGCACTGCACCGGTTGCACCTGGTGACATGTTGAACAAAACCAATGTGCCATTAGTTATGCAGTAAGAGTTTATGTAGTTGAAATTTGACTGTTTTCAACATAATACTTGACAGTATCCGCATTTAAGATCTAAAAGATTTAAGATTGTTAGCATGATAAAAACATCTGCTTAATCATTACCGGCTTCCTTTGACGTACAGTGTTAGTATTCATACAGCAAGTATAGTCAGTGTCAAAGCATCAGTACGCATCATTCTTATCGGAAAGACCTATGGTATGGTTATGTAAGAATTGTAACTGTTCTTGAAATTTTTGAAATTTTGAATACGGATTGTGTTAATTTGTGGACAATCTCTTAACAGATGCTGTAACGCAGATGGAATGCTTTTGCAACCATCAAAACCCGCAAAAGCAATAGACGCACAAATACTACAGGTATAGCCATCATCTGCCATGTTGGGACATTCTTATGATTAATTGTAATTACCTTTTATCAATTCAAATAGTGACATTTGGCTATTGATTTTTCATAAGATTAGTTTACACGTTTTAGAAATAAATTAAACGGTGAGACATTACCAGATAGATACGTGTTTTGAATAAAATAAACAAACTATCGAATTTTAGTAATTTATATATTTTAAAGGACCAATAATGACAGAAATGTCAATGGAACAAAAAAAAAAATTAATTGTGTAATGCGAGATTCTCTTGTAATATTCTAGTTGGCTTTTGGAGGCGATGTTGGTCCTCAAGGGGATATCTGGACAACATTTAGTAATATAGCCGGTTTCTATTTTGGTATCATCCTCGGTACAGATATGACAGCTGATTATAATCTGACACCATCTAAAGCAAGCTTTAAAGCAGTAAGTAATGTATTGATCATGAATTATGGATTTTAAACTCAATAAAGTTGATAGTATTTATTTTATGAAATGAATAATAACTACATAACTAACCAATATTTTTCATATATTTTTGTATTAGTTTTTACCAAGTGAGGTCTTTCCAAGATTTGCCAGTATACCAAAGTCACAGGAATTCTCTGCATCAAATCCATTGGTTATTACAACTAACTGTACTAAAACTAATATCTGTTTATACTACACCAGTCCTGTATTCTCTCCAGGGTCAGTTGATTAATTTCTTAATTCCCAGTAGCCATTTATTCAATTATCTATCTGTCTGTCATGGATATTGTATCAAGTAGAGTGGGAGTAGGTATCTGATTACTACTTACTAGACATATGTTGAAATATCTGTATACTAATCCTGAAGCATAGTTAAGACCAATGGTGAAAAGTTTCTGAAATTGGACTGTTTACTAATGAAATATATGGAAAAACTAAGCACTATTTTAGAGAAATTTAATAAATTTGTGTTCAAAGGGATATATGTTTTTAGCATCTTTTGTTATTTTGAAAATGGCGCATACTCTACCTTTTAGCATTGCTCTTTTGGGTATTAAACAATTAAACAGCTCTTTGTCTTTAAATCATCAATAGGATCTAACTAGTGTGTTGTAATTAGTACATAGTCTTGTAATCTTTTGAAAGGATATATCCAATTCGTGATGATCAGTTTTGTTGGAGGTAGAACAGACATATTGAAGTCTATCAAACGGCTCCAAGTATATCAGACCAATAAACATAGATGGATAATCCATTCTTCTGTGATAGATCCTGGGATAATGAAGCGGAAATATTTGTCAGTGGCAAGTCTCCGTGACGTCATTATCATCCGTTTCGCTGATAGATCATGTTCTAATGTAACTTGTATTGTTTAATTACAGTGGTACTAATGTCCTTATTTATGGTGAAGAGAATAAAATTGTACCAATGTCACCTAAAAGAGTAACTGATATCACATTAGACCGAGATTTAAAGCTCACATTAACAGGAGCAGCAAAGGAAAGTGTGAGATTTGGTTTCATTTTGCCTGACCAATATATCACCATAACTTGTCAGTTAGGGCAATCTGGTTCTGCTGTTTTAAGTTTTAATGAGCGATCTTGTAATGGATATTAAACATATTAAATATTTGTTATTTTGTGTTACTTACGGAATCCCCGCGTTGGTAAACGCCATGGTTGAAACCTTTCCAACATAATGAAACACAGAACGTTGGATGGTTTGGACAGTACCCAGTCAAGGCCAATATGATCTAACAGTTTGGTTGTTAACAATAAAGAGATTATCAAAAATCGCTTCACAAACTGTGTAAAGTTTCAGAAATTACAACCACTGTTTAAAAAATAAACTGATTAAAACTTGCTGAGCAAGACAACTATCCTTTTACATGTTCTTTGAAAGCTATGAGTAATATTAGGTGTAATAGAGAGACAAATACTGACTGAAGAAAACGTCGCTGTGTATACTATTCAGTTGTCTATTGACATGAGAGTAATTTGACAATTATTTCAAATACAAATTTCAAAGACATAACTTTAGTGCTTCTCAGCCGGGGTTAAGATTCACCCCGGAGGTGAATAAGACTTTTGGGTGGAAAAAAGTCTGAATTGGGGATGAATAAAAAAAAGGGGGTGAGAAAAGGGATGAATTAATATGAGACGTTAACAAATGTGGCTTCAATCTGAAGAAAAAAATATTAAAAATAGCTGACGATATCTATATTGATTTTATTAAAATTTTAATAAAAATTGATGTTCAATAGATGTGAATAAAAATTATTTACTTTTCAAGAGTATTGAAAGGGATCAGTGGCTTCTGGTAGTGGAGGGTGAACAGGGTTGAGAAGCATTGGTTTAAATAATGTTCCCCATTGTTTTACCACCTGCTGCATAATCGCTTGAGTTATTCTATTTGAACAAGTATGTAAAATTATATTTATAGAACATTCAAAATAAATAATCTGAAAATTAATAATAATTCATTATCTTATAGACTTAATCAACATTGTGATAATATAATATTAAAAAAACAAGAATTATATTAACAACGATTGATAAATAGAGAAAGAAGTCAGAGTTTTTCTTCTAGCTTCTGTACCTCTGTTACAAAGTTTTACTACTAGGTTGTGTCTCTCACTATATTTATATATAGCTGTAATCTTGTATTATCTGGTCAGGTTATCTCATATATTTTTCAAAAACCATGCATGGTTCGTCATTTTTTTCATTTTTGTATATAAATATACTGATTCTTCAGAAGAACTAAAACTGCACAAAAGTCGCATAGTTTCTTCAAATTATCCAAATCAAACTAAAACTATATATGTATTTTGTATATTAATTATGTGACGTAGTCCTGAGACTAAGGTACGATTGCTCACGGGTTGCTTACGGGATGCTCACGGGTTCCTTTAATTCGCCAATATATAATAATACTAAACATAATTTAGTTCAATATATGTTAATATTATGTACGGTTTTATAGTAACTGTTAAAAAATTGTTTTACATGCAAAAACCGTTTTAATTTACAAAGAATCATTTCTTTATCATCCTTTCTTATACAGACAGCACAACTGGATAAGTGAATTTTGTTATAACCGAATAATATATGTGTATTTGCCAGTGCGAAAGCAACTGGAAGTTATTCAGCCAGAACTGGAAAGAACCGAATTACCTTTGCAGTGCGAAAGGGGTATAAATAATTCATTGCCAAATCCCAAGAATGTCTAAAAGCAATAAAAAATCTTCTATCATGTAACTCGGACTATAATAAATCTCTTAATCCGTAATTAACGGTAAATACCAACATTGGTCAACATTAGATAACAAAGATGGCGTACATAGTGACATCACACATAGAGAAAGAAGGCAAAAGGAAAGACCTTATATTGAATGTTGCCATTTATTATCAAAGTTTTCTTTGTGACTAAATGACTCACAACAACTTGAATTTATTGTGACAGACAGAAATCCGTTTAGTCTCCAATGTTTATTTTTGATGAAAAATGTGCCGGAGAAGACGTCTGTGTCACGGTTAGTCAGTGTTCAATTTAAAATTTACATACAGGATATTTATGAATGGGGAAATACGACTTCATTATGTAGCGAGATTACTATAATATAATCATATTGGATTGAAATACATATTGAACGCCGGCATTATTGTGAAATTTTAAACCTATTATGAGACTATTATGTGGGCTGGTACAATGTTTTTTCGTTTATATGGGTCAAATAGGATGGGTCACAATTTGTAACACGATACTCAATAACGGACATAATATAGTTTCGGAATGTATTTCCTATATGAGTATCTATTATAACTATAGCGAGCTGTGTGGATGAAAACTAGTATAGAGTGGTGATAACATTGAGGTAATGTAGTTTATAACAGATTAAATCATGATTATTTTTACATGTGACTCGTGTATAGATATGAATGTATATGAAATATTCAAGATCAATTTTCATATAATATATTGTATAGACTTTTCAATGAAAACAAAATGTGTAGGCTTGGATGAGAAATTAGCTAGTAATTTAGTATTGCCTCATGGTCTAATAAGCAATTTGAATTACTATTAGGTATTACTTTGGTATTCTTTCTGGAAATCCGACTGGATAAAATTGGCTAAAAGAACTTGTTACCAGACTATTAATGATAATTCCTTCCAGACTGGAGGGCAAATTACACCTGGAAAGTAAGTCTGTGTTAACGATTTAAGAATAAGACTAATGATAATATACCGGTTTTATACATCTGTTACAAATTAACCCATCGTGTATGATAAACCGACCTAGTATTTAAGTTTTGTTTGAATTAACCCTACGTAATATGATATAATGTAACTTGTATTTGAGTTTTATTGTGAAGTAATCCTATACTTATGAACAATATAACGACAATGGAATTTAGTTTTGTCTGTTTTGATTTGAGAAAAATGGATTTCAGATTTGCAGTGAGTTAACCCCTCGTAATGTACGTCAGATGTAACATAATTATTGTGTTTAATTCCGTCTATCTTAATGTGGATTTAATAATAGGGTAATTATTTCTTAGCCTTACTTACACATAATTCTAAAATAGGTACTTATTGATTTAAGCTTGTTTAACAGCGGGCGTTTCCAATACTGGGGTCATATCCTATATACCCCACATAGGCTGGTTATACTGAAATATAAAAAGAAATCTAAAATCATTAATTTATTTATATTTTTTGGTTCATCTTAAGCTCTAAGAATTTAGATATTTGATGCGTAAACCAGCAAGGCTTACATAACTATAGGTTGTTACTTCACTAAGTTGATGTATTTGATAGAAGCGTAGTGTAAGAAAGATCTAACAAAACGGTTTAAAGAAAATATTTTTTCCTTTCTAAACAGTAAAAGTCAGGTGGTGCATGAACAAATTTGATTAGGGAATAGAAACGACAAACAAAAGTCCAATTCAAACGAACCTTCGATATTCTTCTTTGGTCGCTGACCTCAATTTGGTGAGTAACGTAATCATTGACATTTCATGTAGAAACTGCAGTGTTATATTCTACAGATCTATAGAATTGCGTCTACATAATTTTAGTATAGGCCTAATTAAAATACGATATTTGGGTCGAAATAACATTAACGAGGCTCTATCTAATATAAATTCCATCTCAAATGTAGGTTCTGAGATGTGAAAAGAATTACTTCGATTCAGACGCTTTCATTTTTAATACCACTATTGGGAGTCCTTAATGAATGTTGTCGTTAGAGCTGTCAATGAAATCGGCATTATTTGTTCAGAAGCTACGACGACTAGAACATTTTGATACTTACTTTTACTCTGATATTAAGTATTTGTATTAGGTTATAATTCGATGTCAAGTGTACTGACTCTAGAACACTTTTGTAGGGTGTTGACACAGTGTTTGCTACAATATTATTCCTTTATTAACATATTAGGTATATTATTGTTTATTAATATATAATCTTTCGTCATATCGTAACCTTGAGTTATATGATTTATGTTTCTCCTTAACATTATTATAACATTATTGTAACATGCTTTAACAAATTCTTTCCGAGAAAAACTGCACTAATCAATACTTGTATATACATATGTTGACATCATCAATAGCTTTATGGTTATAACCAATTTATTTTGTACATGAATTGAGTGATTTCCTATTATCTATCCAGTTATTAAACGTTTAATTCTGGTATTGACTGTTAAGACGTCATTAATGCTAAACCGCGAGTTACGACAACAGCTACGTCAAATGCGGGGGCGACAAACTGTCTAAATAGTTAACAGAGGCTAGAATAGAGTAAGATGTTCCGGATTAATTTTACTACTGATGCTGATCCATCCATTGGCGTAAGATTCTTGACGTTTGTTGCCAGTAAGCTAATATTCACCAGACTTTATATTGATTGAGAAACACTAGCTATTTCCTTCTGTTCACCGGGGATTGTGAAGTTGTTTCAAATAGCTGTGAGATTATATTCACTTTAGATTATCCATGTTTCACTTAACATAGGTACAGAATGCCGGTGTTTCACCGTTTGAAGGTTATTTAGACATTTATAGCTATGACATGACAGATAAAATTGTCAGCAGCAAACAAATATGAGAATAATGGTATGAACTTTCTAATCTCCGTCACATTTCTCTAACATGTATTTAGTTTTTCATGTATTAGTTTCATAAGAAGTAAGATTCTGAGCCTTTTCTGCACGTGAAGAGATACGGCCATTTAGCCACTTGTATTTGGAAGTGGGAAGCGACTTTCAAATTGAATACCGCTTATCCACTAACTTATGTTATAATATGTATGTTCAAAGAAGACAAATTCAGAATAAAAAAACATTGCATGCTATTCGTGCAGGGAATTCCGACGCAATGAGAAACATTTCCGTTTCACATGAGAACCGTAAGTGTGTTCTTTTCCGTTTCACCTGAGAACCGAAAGTGCGTTGGTGAAAGGTACATTTATTCGTTAATGGATATTTAATGACCACCCTGCCACCTCGGTTTACCTCCATTGAATACCACTGGCATTCAATACAACTATTCATATTTAACAGCAAAACAAACTATAGACAAACACAACTATTAAAAATCAAGTAAATGCTGTCATGCACGTATACCATTTGCACTTTGTTGTTATACTATCATACGGTACGGGAGATAACAATATATTATCTCACCTGTTATATTCAATACCTTCATATTCTTAATTTTATTCCTTGTACAACAGTTATAACCTTAAGTGTACAGTCATTGGTGACTGTCTGGGATTTTCCTTTATCAGTTAATTTCAACGCCTTTTTGTGACAAAAATCATACCATTACATATTGTCGTCTATATTGTGGAGATAAAGTTGACACACACCGACTTGAAGGAAGTGAAAAGCAATCCGTGGCTCACTTCTGTTATAATTAGAAAGTTGACCCTATATGTGATTATTTATTTATGGATTTGTCGTGTTTATCATTTCATTTGACAACTTACTGCACCTATTTCTTGTGGTTGAATACCTTAGACGTCTTGTAATCTGTTTTAGGCTTAATTGGAATACTATACCATATTGTTTGGTATAAAGCTAGTTATCAATAGGCCTAGAGCATGGTGGAATCTTACTATAGAATTAGTCTGTGATGTTAGACATGCTCTGTTGTCTGATCTTCATTTGGAATACTGTGTCTTGTGATCTTCATAGTGATTTGTGATGTCTTAAGGTTTGTTTTTTCTCTTGATGTGTATCTTGATGTGCTTTACAGGTAGGTATTTCCCCAAAACCAACAGAAATATCAACAATGGCATAATTTCATGTTAGTTATAGGATATTTATTCCTTATCTTTTGTTGTTAATGTGACCGATTATTATCGGTAGTTTTGTTACGTGAAAGGTCCATGCTATCCGAAAGTCCGCACTTTTTTCAGTTTGGTCTGTTGCGATTTGATAACAAGCCATTAAAAACACAGAGGTCTGCCTGCAATATATTGTCTGGGTTTGCCATATAAAATGTTAAATGTTCCTAAATTGTTTTTCGATACATTCGAATATATTCTCCATTAAATTGCATTGATTTTTTCTTATACTTGTTGTTAGAAATAGTTGTACATTATAATAGATTGTTGTGTATAAATCTAATTCATCTATTTCCTTGTAGGCATGTTTTAATTTAATCATCACCAGGCAATCATAGTTCAAATCATACAGGATATTATATACTATCTATGTATTACTGCAGTGTTTTAACAGAAGTTGCAAGTTGTTTTGTGTTCTATGTCAGTGCTTGTATGTCATGTCATTTCACTCTGTCATGAATAAGGTTTAACATGTTATCAGTGCACTATTAGTGTTATTTTCGAATTTATTTTAAGTGTATCTATCAATCTTTGTCAAGCTAAATTGTCAAACTGATCATTAAAATCAAATTACAAAGTGATTAATGTAGGGTTCTATTATCGTGCTATAAAACATAATACACATTATTACAACCATAGCAGAGCCTACATGCTTTATGTTATGTTTTAATAACCGTGCCGTTAATATGATTCAGTATCTGAATGGGTTGGTCCCCACAACTCGTGTACTCCCAGAGTTTAAAACATGTAAATAGTGCATAAAAGAATGAAATCTGTAGAGAATACTTATTCATATTCAAAATGAATAATAAATCGGTCATAGGCAAGCATAGTGGAGATGAGTGGTATATCAACACTCAGATTCTATACCTTTACCTCCAAACACGATCAATAATTAATGGGTAAAAAGAAAAGAATTTGGACTGCAAACGAAGGTCAATCATTATAGCTCGACATATTTAGCAAGCTCAAGTACGGAAGCCCAAATAGATATTGTGCTTTTTGTTTCTGAATCTGCACTAGTGCGAGAAATGCTATTATTATCATCATCTTCTGACAATTGATTATGACAGCTAATGCTAGTCGCCAGGGGGAGAGTTGAAGAGAAATTGACCAATTTGGTGTCAGACAGCTAACCTGCCAATGCCGGAAGTTCCTAATTAGTATATAGACTGGTTAGAGATTCTCCAGCCTAAATCTGTCAAACTCGTATCAGACGTAAGTCAACAAATGCCCTAATACCAAACCTCTAATCTCTGCTCTTCTATCTATGACGAAGTGCAATTCATGACATAATATAATGACATATATTCGGTTTTGATTCTGTGATTTAGAATAATACCTTTTAGAATGAACTTATAATTCAACAGAATATTTCTACTCAATCCGATAAATCATAAAACTACTTTTAAGTGTTGTAGTTTTATGGATAATTACTTAAGAGAGATTCTGTTGTATAGTTATGACACCATGTTAAGTCGATGGTATTTTTTGCCAACGTTTGAGAATTAATTTATGTATTTGCTCGTTCTAAGAAGATGTAGTATTCTTTTAAGAATAACAATGGAATTGGAAATTAATTATCTTGCTACCTGGACGACATCATTCAACTATTATCAATTTGGTCTGGTACGGATTGACCACGAACCCCGATCTCTTATCATAGGTTTAAGTGATAAAAATGTATTTTTCGGTGAATAAAGTAGGTTAAGTTTAAGTGTTACTATGATTCGTACGATAAATATATTTAAATATATATCTTACATCCAACTGTAAGAATGTTGTTTACCTTTCAGTTTCTTCCTAGAACTTCATTGTAATTTAATCAAATGTGTTGTAGGGTATGTATGGTGATTTTATAACGCCTCAGGAAGAAACATTACTTCTTCCGTATTGATCAGAAGCCATTGGTATTTGATATTGGATAACCATATCGAATTGAAAGTAACTTTAAATTCTATGTGGAATAAGTTCTTGCACCTGAAGCAACTTCACGTAATTTCACGTAACAGCATTCTGTGGTTTCTGTACAGTCAGCAAATACTATATATTGACTTTTCACGTGAATGTGACAGTTAATTTGACTAGGTATTGTTAAACGTCTCGTCATTGTTGACCTCCATTTTGACACCGTCTCGTCGGTAACATTAAAACATGTTGTTTTCAAACGTCAGAAAGGTAATAGGTCAAAACGTTGTCGTTGATTACGTTGATAAATGTTGCCCATGACGTTATTTAATTAGCCTACTTAACTTCGTTTCACCGTATCACCCAGTTTTATTGTATACTTTCAGTGAGACGGCTTCTACATCAAAAATATGGCGACTGGTCTTGGAAAAGAGTTTCCGTTTAATTTACAAAATGGAAACGTTCACCACAAAAAGCAACGAGGACGTCAACAACAGAGACGTCGTCATCTGAATCGTGTTATGGACGTGGAGGAAATATTGGCGTTACTTGAAGAACTTAAACAAGAACAAGAACAAGAAAAATTCGAACAATCACAACGAATTCGACGCGAACGTGAACAAGAAGAAAAAAGGCAATTATCGAAAGCAAGTGGTATCACGGAATCTATAGATATATTATGTGAAACTTGTGAAAGACTTGCTGGATATTCCGATTTGGATCCAGAAGCTCAAAGAAAACAGAGATATGCTCAACAAAAACGAAGACAAAAATTACAAAAACGAATATTAGATCTTGAATTATTAGTTCAGTTCCTAAAAGAATTGAAATTAAAACAATCAAATTCAGATTCTGATGAAGAAGGCGGTGAAGAGACAGAAGCTCGGTCTAATTTATTTCTTTTCTTGTTTTTCGGTATATTTGTTTGTTTCGTATTTTGTGATTTGTATAAATCATGGTGACCTTAGTTTACTTTTCCAGTTTTTTTGTATTCTTAATTAGAAACAAACCATTTGTCGGAATATTTGAAAGCAAGGGCTATCCAAATCAGCGAAAAATTCGACGGAGCGTAGACATTTGAAATTGATTGAAATACTCGACTTCATTTCCATACTCCCTCATGGAAATCGCCTTTGTCCAACCGCTCTTCCACATTTTAGGCACAAAATAGACTGCAAGTTTTATCTGGTCTTTAGATAATTGCATGAACTGTTTTTGAGTTGTTGTTGCCCTTGACGTTGGACATTTTATTTGTTGACATGATATAAACTAACGATTTTATCCGATCTTGATAAAACGAGTATATTTTTTAATTCACACCTAGAATCTTGTCTACAACCGCAATGTAACAACCTTAAATTCCTTAACCTACACCCAGAACCCTGTCTACAGTATAACGACTTAACCTACTCTTGTCTACAGTATAACGACTTAACCTACCCCCAGAACCTTGTCTACTGTATAACGACTTAACCTACTCTTGTTTACACAGTATAACGTCTAAATCTACACCCAAACTCTTTGTCTTAACCTACAGTGAGACTTGTTTACATGAAAGCTCGGGGTCATAAAGTACAAATAGTTAGCCAAGGTCAATGACCCTCGATCCTACAAAGGTCTACTAAGCCCTGTGCCTTTTTTTGAACTACAAGCTGAAACAACTGAGCTTTTAACACAAACTGGCCAAAGAGATACGGAAATTGTGTGCAAAGGTCCTTTTTTGAACAAATGTTATTTAAACGACTTGTGTGCCTTTTCAAAATATATAAAAATACATAATTTAACCCGGATGTGCCACGCCTACCTCAACTATTTTGTCATAGTTAAATTTATATTTAATTGGCCTAGTTGTGTTCCAAATTTCAAGATTCTACATCATATAGGTCTTTATATATACATTCACCAAGCTCAAAGAGGGGAGAATATTGTAAAAAAACAAAAAAATGTTTTTTGAAAGGTTGTGGAACCGGAAGTAGACGTCAGAAACCCTATATTGTTAAACGGAAGGTCAACAAAGGTCAAGGTCACGAGATATTAGCCATCAAATTTTCAAAGTGCATACGGCTACAAAACTGGAAGTGGACGTCGGACATCCAATATGGAATAGAAATAGATAACTAAGGTCAATGACCTTTGATCCTACAAAAGTTAAGGTCAACAAAGGTCAATGTCAAAAATTGAAAATATGAAAATTCTAAAACCCGTTCCTTTTTTTGAACTATAAAGCTGCAAAAACTGAGCTTTTAACATAAATCGGACAAATGGACGACGTAATTGTGTGCAAAGTTCCTATTAGGACAAATGTATCCTATACGCCTGCCCCAAAATGTAATAAGTTAGTAATTTAACCCGGATGTGCTACGCCCACCCCAACTTCTTTTTTGTTTATAGGTTTATTCATATTTAAAATGTCTAGATGTGTTCCAAATTTCAACAATCATACGGGTCAAAAGATATACATACAAGCATCTCAAAGAAACGAGAATATTCTTAAAAAGAAACGTTCAAATTTTGCATTAAAAACTATTGTTATATATCAGCGAGAAGAGCATGAGAAGCACATTCAGAATCCACAAAAATTAAACCTTTAAGTTAATTAGGTCACGGGGTAGAGCAGTTCAAAGTTGCGAATTTGGCTGTTTTTGGACAGTCCGGAAGTAGAAGCCGAAATATGAAAATATCAATGACCTTAAAATGGTCAAGGTCATCAAAGGTCTAGGTCAAGAGATATGGCTTCTATAGTTTTTTGCGCAATCGACCGAAATTTACATATACATCAAACATACGCACATTCAATTTTACCCTGAGGCCCCATTTTGAGTTTTACAAAAGTTGGTTTATCAATATAGCGGCCAAAATATTTCTTCGGGTCCGGATGTTTTTCTTCGTTTTTTGTAATAAAGTTGTCTACCGATCGATATTAGTATCGTTGCTCTATATGAATTACACCGGAAGTAAAAGTCAATTTCCCGTTTGAACCGGAAGTCAAGTCAAAAGTTTGACTTACCATATTCTTTACTTTAGTGATCTGATTAAGTTGAACTGTGCTATTTCCGGTTTTGCAAAAATGTTCCAATTTATATTCATGCAGCACGTTGCCACTACAGAAGGTCTGGGAAAGTTGATTGATTGCTGCAACTACTGCAGTCTAAGCTCAGGAAGGTGTGTAAATTTAGAGAAAAAAAAGAAAAAGAATTGACATTTCGATAACAAACTGGTACTTTGCGGAAACAAAAAGGGATGTCTAAAATTAACCGACTACTTTCATGGAATGTTCTAGTTAGTCCATAATAGCTATAATCATAGAGTTATAAATAGCTGGGAATACCCTTTCTATATCATTTGTCATCTATTGAAAGTGTTGGTAGTCCTAATTTATTAAACTATCTACCCAATTAGATAACCCTCCGAATACAGGATCAAAGTTTAGGAGTAAACAATATTTCTCTCCAGAAATATCATAAAGAACAGAAAAGGTAAGAATACGTTATACTTTACTCATTACTTAACGAAATCAGCCACGTAAATACTTCCTCAGTATACATAGGTAGATAGATAGATATTTATTGTATTGTTCGCCCTATTTTGGGACACAATAGAAGCTACAATTTCCAATGGAATTTGATGACACTTCGTGTTAGCATTGGGATTGATAAGACCTCGATCAAGTTCGAATTTGACAATTCTTCGATGAGTTAATTGCCGTTGTGGTAAAGGCTGAATTTGACTATTGTCAGTTTTTTTTTTGTCCGTCCGTCCGTCTACATTTCTTGTATGCACGATAAGTGCTACAGTTTTTACCGATCTTAATGGAACTTGGTGTGCATGTATATATTGATGAGATCTCAGTCAAGTGTGAAATTGGTAACAATAGGATGAACGGTTTTGCCCTGACTTAGTAAAAACGCGTCAAATTTTGACTTGTATGCACGATAAAGACTACAGTTTTTATTCGATCTTGATGAAAATTGGTGTACATGTATAAATTGATGAGATCTCGGTCCAGTTTGTAAATGGCAATAATCGAATAAATTGCCCTTGACGCGTCAAATTTAACTTGTAATGAAATGAATGAAACTTGGTATGCATGTATATATTGATGTTCGAAATTGGTATTAATCCGATGAACGGTTACAGAGCTATTGCCATTGTGTATACGTCAATGAGACCTTGTTCATGTTTGAATTTGCTATCATTTCTGACAGCTGGTAGTGGGCGTATGTTACCTTGCCTGGTAAGCTATCTTCTTCAGTTTGCAGAGTGGAATAACATCCAGTAATTTCAAGTAGTTACAAATGGCAAAGGCACTAGATGATAATGAACTCGTATTTCAACTTCAACTTGAAGAAAATAAGAAGGTTTCAAACCAGACAAGAAAAGCCGGTGTGCCTTCTGATCTCTTCCAAGTGTGTCTACCAACTGGAAAGTCGTCACATGTTCCAAGATTTTGTGATACAAAGAGAAATGGTGGCGGAAGAAATAATTTTTATACAAGATTGAACAGTAACGATTACAGCAAACCCAGCTTAGATAGACTTATAGCCGAACAAGTGCAATTAGAAACGGATAAAGATATTGCTAAAGAACTTGATAAAGATATCAACAATCTAGAAGAGCAGGACCGGATACTAGCCGAACGTATGCAATTAGAATCGGATTTGGAAAGCGCAAAAGAATTGGACAAGCACAATTCGGTAATTACAAATTTTACTTATTTCTGATGCAATACACAGGATATCATGCCACAAATGGATAAGCTTGTTTGAGTAGAGTGTCTGTAATGGACGTATAATAGGCACAATTTGGCATCAGAGAACATTTAAGTCCCGAAATGTTCCGCCTGCGGCACACTATTCAACCATTTTATGGTTCATTTTGCGACCCATCTCCACCCACAGAAGCATTGTCACCAAGGGGCACACATAGCGAATGTTATCGTTCGCATATTTTCGCTGGAAATTTAAATTTAGGTCATATAGGCCTTTAGGCCTAACCGTTTATTATTTCAGTCTGTGAAATATCATTTATCTCATACGACACTTGATCCAGTGGACCAGTGTTAATAAAATACATGGGAATTCCACATTCCCATGGTAAATTCGAAAATGCAGTCGCAGACAAAATCTCAACTCACAAGTAAAATTTAAAAAGAAAATAACATGGAGCGCTTACTTTCATTCACGTTGAAACTCGCCACAATGGATAGATAAACATTTGCTGTCAAAATACATACGATAGATGTTGAAAAATGATCCGAACATCTGGGAACTTGTCGGCTGCAGTCAGAAAAATTAGGCCCTGTTTATTTGGGGGATAATGATGGCATGTTTAAACGGCACAAGTTACATCTTTCTGAATATATTTGGGTTTAGTGCAGGGATTAGGGGGAAATAAATATGTTTAACAAACCCACTACTTCGGAGGTGCGAAAGAAATCCCCACGAAATAGGGTCAAGTTTTTCTGACCTACTTACTGTCTAAATAGCTAAATAATATAGAGGCTGAAAAAAAGACTTTTTCGGAATACGTAACCTTAAGTTACACATACCCTACAATTTCTTTATCCCTTTTTAGAGTAAAAATTAACCCCTGGCCCCGAGGCCACAGAAATTTCTTAAGTACAATTTATTTCCTCCAATCAAGACATTTATTCAAATTATTCATCTTGAATAAAATCCGAGGCCACAAAAATTTACTGAGAACATTTCTTTACTCAGCCTAAGATTATTCTCAAGAGGTTTTTTACTCAATCTCAGAATTTTCTCAAGCTGAGTAAAATCTGAGACCACAAACATTCTTAAGTCATATGACTTACTTCCTTGAGATAGGTAAGGAGAGACTTAAGTATATTATGCAGAATAACAATAGCCGCCTTCTTTTCTAATTTCCCTGCCTTGAACACAGAAAGGCAATAAATAGATATTTTAGGCATTTGAAAATCATTATTGACATTAGGACATTGACACAACCACAAGAAAATAAAGAATAAGACACTCTACTTGTACAATTTCTTGTTGGTTTTATAGTGCTCAGTATTTTTAAGCTAATAGGCTAAATGTAATAGGAACCTTTATTCTTTGCCCTGGCTCACTACACTTTCTATTCACAAATGACACAAATTTTTCATTTTGGATTCGTGTTGCCTTTATCAGGTTTGATTCGATCTAATAGTATTGGACTAGGCAAATCTTTAAAATAAAAAAAATGACTTAAATATTATTTTAAGAATTTGTGTGGAGGGAACAGCCACTTACTGTTTTGTCGGAGCCTTGTGACAAGATGTGACAAGATTGCCTATAAATCAAAAGATAAAGGCCTACTTTACTTTTCTGACATTTTCAACAGGCCTCCATTTTCTTTCAAGGGAAGTGCTCAATTTTCATACATGATGTTTTCAGACCGCAATATATTTATATAGACGCAAAACCTTAAGTTGAGCGGTGAAGTCGATAACATTGGAAAGAGAACATCGCTTGAAGCCTATTTATAAGAGCCTTGAATTGACAATATCCTAAAATCCACACTACTGTATTTTTCAAGAACTAGATGTAAAGGATTAATAATATCTTTTAACACTTTTCGTAATTGTATAATTTTTTGCTGTAAATTTGATACATAATCAAGGCATTGGGTTTTTCAGAGACAAAATGGATTATTTAATCTAGGAAATATTGAGAACATAAGACATGACTTACCACAAGGTTGGTCCAACTCCCCGCCCTTTGGAATGCAAAGGGAAGCAGAACGTCCTAATTCCCACCAAATTCAACACACACCATATCAAGTACACTCCGAACAATTTCATAGGAATTTTATAGGACTATTAAATGGAACCAGTTATCGAGGTATTTTTGTTTTGTTTTTTTGTTTGTTTTTGTTTTTGATTGTTTGTTTGTTATAACTCTCTCTGTATTGAAATTCAACTCTCCATAGAATTTAAGCTTTCAAAACGAATTTAGTGGTTTACAGTTTAGTGTGTAGACTGAAGTCTGTGAACGTTTCGATCCCCAGATAGTTACATGGAGATTAAGACACTTTTGACATAATTTCGTTCAATGTGCATTGCATGGCTTTGTTCGTTTTTCATAAGCCCAATCAGATGGAGATTGATGTAACAAGGAATGAATATAGGGGCGAGTGGAATATATGCCTAGATAATGTAAGTTTATATTATAGGGAGACCAACCTCAGTGCAGATTTCTAACACTCTCGTGGCTACAGTAAGTAATTTTCGTGGTCATTTTAACCATTCTGCAAATTCTCTTACAAATTTGTTACACGCATATTATAAAGTGAATATTTTTGTTATTTCGAATTAAATGGTGGCTATCCTTTTCAGGGACGTCCGGACTATCATCTTCCAATTTTACAGCACCATATTTAATGGGCAAAGTATAAATCATATACGTATGTATATCGCATTACGTAGAAAATATCGTAATCATTGTTCTTCGCACGAATCACCTGATGACTCAAAATACTTGCAATGAAATTTATTTTATTGGACCTTGGGTACATTTTATCTTCTTCATGGACATTATTTTACAGGAGTTACTGGAGTTGGGCGAAGTGAAAATTAGAGGATTACAACAATCGGAAATTGAAACTTTACCGAAGGAAACGATTAAAGATTTAAAGCAAATAGAGGAGACACAATGTGTTATATGCTTCGAAAACTTTCAACTAGAAGATGGTTTTAGGAAATTGTCTTGTTCTCATGTATACCATGTTAATTGCATCGACAAATGGTTGAAGGTATGGGCAAACACTTACATTATATATCAGCCAGACACTCCTCAGTGAAGAGAACTTGAGAAACTGACTCTGTGCTGTATTTTCCACTTTCTATTTCCAGTTAACACCCAAACCAAGAACTGGAAGTTTTTCTGGAAATAGGGCCTACTGTATTAAGCATCATAATATAACAATTATTGTGATCAATTCCCTCCCTTGACTATTGAAGTTTGAAATGAAATGTATTTTGCATCAGTTACGTCCCTTGAACTTTTTAAATTCGCTATTTCTTTTGTTGGTGCGTTCCTATGTTGCGTATGTTGAGCAGACGGGTGTGGCGCAAGAGTAGTACCTGTACACTACTATACCCCATTTTAACATATCCCGACTTACCAATTTTTTTTGTGCAAAATTGACCATGCTGTCACACATACATTCATCAATTCACACCCCAAAATGACCTATATACCCTACATTTTTATCATCAAATTAACTCATTTAAAAAAAGGGTGACTCTAATACTAAAACACGAAGGGGATAGATATAGAACAGATTATACAGGAGTTGTATTTATCTCAGCACAAACTTCTCTAATCCAAGGCTATCGGTTCTATCGCAAAAGCAGGAGTTAGTATAAGCGACGCAGTAAAAAAATCTTATGACTTATGAGATGGGCAAATGAGTTAAATATATCACCGTTTTATTATTGTATGAGAGATAAAATAAATGCTCTCAAATATAAGAAAGGTAAATTATATGCAATAACAAATATACATACTTCAGATCAAAACGGAGTTCACCACTCTGCTTTATACAAAGACGCTTCAAATAACTTATATTTTTTTGATTTTCTTGGATTAGAACCCACTGAAAAGATATTGAAATTAACTAATAAACCAATCAAATGTTCTACCTTTCAAATTCAATCACCGTGACAAATGTTTTGTGGACAACTTTCACTTTGGGTTTTATATCAGTTAAGTTAGGAAAAAAACAGTTTGAAGAAATTATAATAAATTTAGTTTAATAAAAATGGCGAAAAAATTTGGATTAGGTTCTTTACCTTTAGATACTAAAAAACCTAACACTACAGCATGGATAAATAAAGCAAAACCCTATTTGTGGATCAAATTGGAAACACTCTTCAAGGTGATTTAGATATGAACAATTTCAAAATAACTGATTTAAAATCTCCAGAAAATGATAATGACGCTGTTCACAAGAAATATTTACTGGATCAAATAAATTCAACTGAAGTAAATAAAAACTATTTAGAAGTAATGTGAAAAGATTCTTCAAACGTCAACTAAATAAAAAAAAATTTGATTAATGATACTAAACTACAGACAGAGGTAGCAGGTTTAATAAGTTAAATAAAACTCAGTTACAAAATTTAATTTCATTAATATCATAATTAGATGATAAGATTGCAAAACAAAAATTAGATATTCAAATATTAATCGATAACATTCCAGGTGAAAATGAAGATATATTTCAACAGGAATTAAATGATCTGGAAACTAAACTAAACAGTGAATTACAAAAAGAACTAACAAATAATAAACAACAAATACAGAACATTGACAATATCGAAATTAAAACCTATATTCAACAACAAACAAAATATTTATGATAGTAAAATTAAAACCTATATTCAACAACAAATACAAAAATGTTGATGATAGTGATATTCAACAACAGATAACCACTATTAATAACGAAGTTTTAAAACAGGAAAAAAATATAGCCGCATTAGAAAAGAATCTCATGGAAGAAAATAAATCATATTATTTCAATCTTCCATTTGGAAATTTGAGTGATAAAGATGCCTCTTTACTACTATTATTGATAAATCAAAAATATATAAATATAAAAAATATGGATTAACAGCAAATATAAGAGTATTTTCTGTTACAGATTTTGGTTATCCCCCCAAAGGCATGTTTGATGGTGAATAAAAACGTGAATCACATTTTGTTTTCCGAGGAAAAATTCTAATTGAAATTATTTTTCCTATGCAGGTAAAAGTTGATTCAATATTCTTCAGACAAAACTGTATAGCTGATCAATTTAACGCTCGTAAATTTCTTCAGTATCAATGGTACAGAAAATGTAGAAACTAAAGAATTAGAAATTAACAACGAAAACACCAAGAAAAATCACTTATATGAAATTAAAACGAGTGGAAAATATATAGATAGGTTTAGAATGTTATTCATACCAGATAAAGAAGATGATAAGGAATTTGGATTGAGACAATTTGATATGATATTGGAATCGGAAAGTCCACCATCAGCAAGTATTGTTAAAAATCCAGAACCACAAAAAGAACAAGAAAAGAGTTATGAGTTTTAACGAGCAACAGACTTTGAATATGTAAAACTATATTTTGTTAATAATAATATATTTACCTCAATTGATATTCATAAAAGTCAACAAGATTTTGTAATATTTTCATCAATAATTGAATGTGATATATATGCTTGTAGATGTATGATACAAATCAATATTGAAAAACCAAAATTTTCAGTTCATCGAAACAAGATTAATGATTCGAAAGAACAAATATCATTAGTAACTGTAAAAGTTATTATTTTTCAACCTGATTTCGGAAAAAGAATGAATGTTGATGACAAAAATTTCTCCAACTTTTGCTTTATCAGAAATTCATTTAATTTAATTACCTTAAAATGGAAAGCAGACAAAACTACATGATAGAAAAACAAAATGAGTAAAAGTAAAACTAGAAAAATACAATAAATGCAGAAAAACATGGAGCAGAATAGATTCAGTGTTTAAAACGACAAGCACCATTCTCTGGCGGTTTAATGCTTCCAGTAATCGTACCTACTGTATTAGCAGCCTTCACGGCAATACAAACATCATCATGTGGATTAATCACAATAGGCTTTACATCAAAACAAAAATCTTATTATAAAAAGAAAACAGAAATCTTAAATGGATACCTAAATAAATTATTTATATATTTCGAAAGATCAAGAGAAGATAAAAACATAACTATTGAAGAATTACAAGAATTTAATGAAATTTTAGACAAGTTTCACGTAGAAATGTCATCGGTAAATATAAAGACAAGATAGATAGTTAAAAATAAAACTTAATAAAGAATGGATAAAATTGGAAATTTAAATGGCGAACAATCCAAATGACTTTTTTCATCAATGTTCAATGCAATACCCTCACTATTTACGCGCAAATTTGACAAATATGTAGTTGATAATGTGGGGGAGGTGTTTAAAAACGAGGAGAATGAAATTAAAATATCAACCTCAAATATGTTTTATTCAAAATTAATCAGTTATAGGTCAAATTGAAATGAATGGACGAATATATGAAGGGGGGGGGGGGGGGGGGGTATAAACCCGACATTTCAGGAGAGATTATTTTGCGTAAAAATAATTTTAGAATAGTAAAAAGATCTAAAACAAGCAGAGGTGGAAATCTACTTAAAAAGATAAACGAATACAAAGGGGAAAATTGTTACATACCAAGCGATGACTATTGTTTTATACAGTGCGTAAATCATTTCATGAATAAAGACTTAAGACTAAAAACAGTCATTTTCAACCAAGAAATGTAACAAAAGAATTAGATTGGGTGTTTTACTTACATAAAGAACATTTTTGTTTGATAAGAAGGAAAAAGAAAAGTTTAGGAATTAAAGAAATAGATGAAAACTATAATGAAAATGTATGGAGAACCTTCAGAGATGATGATGCAGTATCATGTATTACTCAATTAAAACTAAACGTGATTTCACAACCCCATGATGGGTGTTTATTCGCTTGGGATTGTGAAACATATTGTGAAAAGGGGCCAATAAAGCAATTCCTTATTGCTGCACTTTAGTCAATTTGGAAAGACTAAGGAAAAAACTAGAACTAACTAAAAGAGTATTCCCAGATTTCAAGCTAACAGATCCCATTCCAGAAAGGTTTTACTCATGACTAGTATAGTAGAAATATTTATAGGAACAGATTGTTTCGATCAGATGTTGCGTCGTTTAGTTAAAGTAGATAGAAAAAGACTAATCTTAATTTCCCATAACGGTAGTGGTTTTGACAACTGGATTGCACAAAGTGTCAAAAAACTAACACAATGTCCACTAGTAACAGATAATAAAATTCTATCTCTTCCTTTATCTAATCCATATACAGAAGAAAGATTGCAGAAAAGGTGGAAAAGAGAGAAAGGAGAGATAAAAATATCTGATAAAAAAAACATATGTCTCACTTGTTCATTTCAACATCAAAGCACTAGTTTGGAGGCATGGGTAACTCATCCAATCTTCCCACAAATCTAAGAAAAATAACTGACTTCGATATTGCAAACATCACCAAGGACAAATGGAAGGAATTAAGACCTAAATGGGAGCCATATGCTAAAAGAGATACTCTTGTCTTGTCGAAAGTACAATCAAGAAATGAAAGAAATTTTCTTCCAAAACGTTTTAAATAATCTAATAGCACCGGCGCTATCTTTAAACGGTTGGTATTATTTTTATCATTACGACACAGAGATGGTTGAAAAAAAATAGTATGAAACTACCATAAAGGTTCCAGAACGCACTGAAAAAGTAAACATTGAAAAGGTTTATTCACCACTCATCCTTTTAAAAGATATTTCATCAGACAGTCAATTAAAGGGGGAAGCGTTTCTGCTAACAGGAAATCATTTGAAACGGACAAAATGAATGAGATTTGCGCCATATTAAAGGAGTATTTAGAAAGTGACACAGAAGGAATAATAGATTTATTCAAAGAATACAAAATAAGTAAAAAAGATAAAACAGAAGTTCACGCTAAACTCAAAGAGCTGGACTGTTCTAGATTGATGGCATTTGACGCTAATGGGCTGTATGCTTCTGCTATGACGGAAGGTGAATATCCAAAAGCTGAAAGTGCTAGAGCATTTCTCCCTGAGGAAGAATAAGAATAGATTATTCAATCAAAAGAAATTTAGACCTAGAACAGCTATTTTAAAGGTTTGGTTTAAATATCCTACTAACATGTTCTTTCAACCAATAACAGCTAAAGATAAAATAACTTTTACGAACAGAGTAAGTAAGAAGGAAACTGGCACTGTTCAGACGTTTTAATATCGGTTGACATTCAAGAAGTAGTTAAAGCCGGTGGTAAAATACTCAGGATATTAGATGGAGTAGTCTATGAAGAAAATTTTAAGACTCCAACATATAGAGATTACATTTTAATTTTGAAGGATTTAAGGAATAAATACAAAAAGGAAGGCGATGTGGTTGCTAGTAACTGCATGAAGTTGTTAGGTAATTAGGTTATACGGCAAATCTATTCAGAGGGATAGAAATATCTCATTGCATTTATGGAATGAAGAAACCTTCCGCCTTAATTACGTCAAGAAGTATAACAAACTAAATGATACTCAATACATTGTTGAGATTAATGACGAAGAAAAAGAATTTATTCCTCCAAAGGATTCTACACGATTAACACACACTCATTTATTCACGTCATTGATGGATTTTATAAGCTATAAGATATACTATACTGATACTGATTTAGCATCAACAGTTAAATATAATATCATTTTGACTTCTGATGGTGTTTTGAAAGAAAAGTTTAAGGGATACTCTAACTATAAGATTAGCGTGGAAATTTATCTCCAATTAGCCAATGGGCAAGACGTAAAGAATAAGTTTAACAAAAGATGGAAAAAGTGTTTGACTGAGGGAATAATTATTCCTGATGAAAAACCAACTAAAGTTTTTAGAAGTTATTTGAATTTGGTGAAGAGAAAAGAACCAGATGATGAAGGAATCATGTGGCCTTACAACCACAAAGATGAGATGTGTTTGGATGATGATTATGAATTTGGTGATTTTGATTATTTTACAAATGTATCTAATGATGATGATCCGTTAGAGTAATTTTTTTTACTGTTTTACCTGCTTTAAATGTAACTGTATTACAATCTCCTCATTACCAAAATCTATAAACCTATTTTTACCATCATTGATTTCCAGATTTATATCTTTAATCATAAAGGAATTAAGTGGTAAATATGTTGTTTGAAATGGTTTCTCTATAATTCTATATCTAATCGGTACAGTGAATGTTGGAATGCTGTAAATAATTTGACGTTTGTATTTATTGAAATATCCACCGTTTATCAAATTGCAGGTACATCAATATCATTCTCGATATTAGCTTTGTGTGGTGCTAATGTTGATTCGTTATATATATATTTTTTGTATCAAAGCCTAGTAAAGTATTTAATGAATTTTCTACATTGAAATCAACTTGACTCTTATTTCTTAATATCAATTTTATTTTGTTCAGATTCAAATTATTGTTCTTTTTTGCCATTTTTATTGGATATTTTTTAGTATATTTTTATAATCATTTTTATCTATAATACTTTTCTCTGAGAGTCTTTTTAATTACAATTTACTTCATTATATTGTCTGTCTGACCGATTAGTTTCCTTCTTTGCCGCTAATATTATTTGTAATCTATTAAGTAGTTCCTCGTTCGTCTGCTTCGTCAACTTCATATTCATCATTAAAATCAATAACTTTTTTTTTATATATATAACTTCTTTCGATCTATTTGTTTCGGGTCCTGACTTTCTTATTGCTTGTACAAATTTTGAATATGCTACTAAATCGGCAATACCAACATCCCCACCATTCATTAAATCTATTAATCCTTCTGTTAATGTAAATATAAAGTCTTTTGTATCGATTTTGAATTGTGATGAATTTCCAGTAAATATTATTCTAAAACCATTAAACATTAACCCCCTTTCATCAACGATTGGTTTAATACTTGTTTTTAAAACCTGGGTCAGGGTTTGAAAAATAATGTTTTAAATCGTTATGTGACCTTAAGATTATACCAATATATTCAGTCGGTTTTGGATTGGGGTGCTCTCTATGAGGGGTGGGTGTCTTTATTTTAATCTTAGCTTTGATATATTGTCTATTTCTTTTTAAAACATTACTCCATTTTTAAGAAAATAAAATTTGACATAACATATGTCGGTCATAACTCTTTCACCCGCATTAACAAATATATATCCATGATCATCTGGGTTTCTCCGTTGAGCTTTACAAACCTTTTTGAATGTATCTCTGTCCCTTCCGTGATTAATCGACTGAATGATTTGAGTTAAATCTTTGTCGTTTAATTCAAATAATAAAAAACAATTTGCATTTGTTCTAATAGAATCCATCCTGTAAATGGATTGGGATTAGTATATGCAGTGACAGTTGTGATGTCTTCCTTTGAACAGCTTGATTTCTTTGTGCTACACAGTCGTCAAACACTATTAAGTTCTTTCGCTCACTATCAATTTTAGACAAATCTAAATCATTAACTTTTATACCCGTTGGATTTAAAGATGGATTCTTTTCTTTTATATATGTATCTAAGATATCTTTTATTTCTATCTCTTCATTATCTTCATAATATTTAAATATGTCTTGAACTTCTTGCTTTGGTAAATATTCTAAAGCTTTGAGGAATTGATAATATGATTGCTCTGGTTTTGTTGTTTAGATATATAGAGAATCGAAATCTAACAAGTTTAGTTTTGTCAACATGTTAAAAGTAAGATGAGTTTTACCAGAACCTGAACTACCGCATATACACATAAGCATTGTGTTATTAGGAAATATTTCTGAATATTTAAATTTCTTTCCCATTTTTTATTCTATATTTTTGTTCCAAAAATCACTCCTTCTCCTCTATACTTTGAAAGAAATATTCCTTCTCCAGTGTATATATATTTTTTTTAAATATTCCATTACCCTTATATTTGACTTTCATTTCTCCAGTGTCAATCTTATCTATTAAATTACTTAATCCCTCTTTAACAGTTTTCTTGGTTTCTTGACTAAATCGATTTCCAAATTCTTTTACTGTGCCTAATATATCTGCTACTCCTGAACCTCGTGCTTCCTTTTCCGTTGCTAAATTATGTCTGCGTTCTTCGGCGGTTTTAGCACCAGCTGCTTTCTTTGCGTTGGCAGCTTTGTCTGCGGCAGATATCCCACCAGTTGCTGCATCAGCTGCGGTAATACCAGCAAGTATCAAAGGTAGGAGAGGTAAAAATCCACCTTCCTTTGTGTTTGAGCCAATTCTTTGTAAATCTATTTCATCTCTGACTTTACAATATTTATATTTATCAATAAGTTTTTTTAGTTATGTTGATTTTTTGACCATTGAAAGTTATTACAGTTGGCGAAGCTGTTTCAATGGCTTTTATTATTTTCTTAACTAAACATTCTGTAACAAAAACTTTCTGGCTTCATTTTTTAAGGGTCTTTATTTTACTCAATTCTTATCATTCTTCTATCTGCAAATTCAATCAAATGTTTTGCTTCTTCCAATGATAAACAGTACCCGGTTACATGAAGTGCATATTCAAACTGAGGTGGATTTCCAAATAAGTCACACATATGTTTATAGTTTCTATACAATTCATTATAATCCTTTGTGGATGGATTAATTGTTAAAGGTTGGTTAGGATAATTATCGTTGTTTAATCTTACTTGAACTTTATGGATTATAGGATCTTGATTTTGGTTCATTGCCACTCTGAAGACATTATTGTTATTTGTCTGAGAGTCTTGTAAGTTCTTGAAACCAACCATTAAATATCTTGCTGGTTTAATAGCATTGGTGATTGGCCAAGTAGTGGATTCTCCAGTTAAGGTCATGCTACCTACTGTTTTACGACGAAGAAAAGCTATTTCAATATCTTTAGTCAACATGTTGAATATTCTCGTTTCGACTGATGGTGTTATGACAGGTATATATAGCTGGAGATTTGTTATTTACCCCATCTATTATTATCAACGGTATTGTTGTACTGAAGTACTCGTTTTTCGAATCCATGATTAGCTGCCCGTCCTACTCTTTCTGTTGTGTTTCGAGCAATAAGTCTCATTCTAGCTTCATCTGCATCATTAGAAATATTCCTTACCGAGTCTTTTAAAACACTTCCATCTCCAACATCGGGGATCCAGTCTGAAAATGAATCGAAGTCTTTAGGATACAAAACTGTTTTCAACATTGTATCAAATTCCCCAGGGTGTTTAATGGTTTCTATAGGATTTGAAGTAGCTTCCAAAACCATCTCGCTAAATTGGAAATAAATTGTTTTCTAACGTTGTATTAGTTTGAGGAACTCGATTCTCAATGGGAGTTTCGTCTTTGATTTTGAAATCACATCTGAAATAAGCATCAGAAAGAAGTAACCATTTCAAAGGTAATTCTACCACCATCATTCAACTGGGATTTAGAACCAACAGTCGGTGAGATGATAATATAATCCTATTTTTCTTGTTAAATGAGTAACGAATCGGATCGTGTGATATAAAGATTGGATCTAGTATGTAATTTTTATCTCCCATTTTAAGGTTTAAAATTTGAATATAAATTTATCGTTTTTCGTTTAACCTAGTGCCTGGAAGATGTTTTTCTCCAGGATATTTTGCCCAATGAAAACCAGGAAGAGATCCCAATGACTTTTGTATATCTGAACCAAAATAAGTTTTTGGAGTGTGTGCGACTATCATTTCTATCCTATAATTTTCAAGCCTTTTCCTTTCTTTTCTTCTAATCTCCTGGTTCGTAGTTCTTTTATTAGTTATAATTCTTTCAACTCGTTAGATTTTTTTTACTGCGTCGCTTATACTCACTCCTGCTTTTGCGACAGATCCGATAGCCTATGCTTCGGATGAAATAAGTGATTTGTTGTTTGAAACATTGCTAGCTACTTTTGGAATTAGAGAAGTTAGTGCTGAGATGAAACCATCTCCTGTATAATCTGTTCAATATCTTTCCCCTTCGTGTTTTAGTATTAGAGTCATCCTTTTTTCCTTTTTTAAAAGAGTTAATTTGATGATAAAAATGTAGGGTATATAGGTCTTTTTGGGATGTGAATTGATGGAATATAGGGTATGTGTGACAGTATGGTGAATTTGGCAAAATGCGGTATATGTGACAGCATGGTCAATTTGGCAAAAAAATTGGTATGTCGGGATATGGTAAAATGGGGTATATTAGTGTACAGGTACTACTCGCAAGGCAATATATGCCTACTCTCCTATTTACGTGATACCACTTTTCATTATGAAATACTCACTTAGGTTTGATATATTTCTTCATGTTCGTTAGCTGCTACCAATGTTTCGCGAAAATTTTGCTTTGGATTTCGGGACTGGTTTCGCGGTTCGTATCGTAATAGTAGACCTACTTGGTTGATTGATAGAAAAGTAAGTCTATATCAGGACTGTTAAGTTCTAGTAATACATTCAAATCGTTATTAAACTGATTTGTATTTACATTTTCAGGTCAAAGCAGAATGTCCGGTCTGTAAAAAGAACGTAAAAGGTGATACTATTAAAAACAACTAAACTGCTAAAGCATTCTGTGATAATTGTTCTAAAGTGTCAATCGCAATTGTCATTGTAATCTACCTTATTGTGTAATACTTTGAATACTAATAATAGACCCACATTATGAAACTGTAAAAAAATATTCTATGAAAAGAGTATAACAGCCATAATGTGTCATTCGAGGTGGAAATGAAAAACTAAACCCATCTTCATAATGGTCAGGGTATTACATTTTCATTTTATATCTTGTGCAGAAAAGTAGGACGTAAAACACCATTCATTTCATTTCATTTTATACCTTGATCATTGTGAAGGTGGCCAAAACCTAGCCTCCGTCATCCAGCCCCTCTTTGTCTACGTACAGCTTTGACGAAAGAGGGCCTGGACAGGTTGCTTAATGTCTTTGTAAATGACCGAGGCTACAGTGTCTATTGAATCTGAATGGTTGTAAATCCAGTTCTGTTTTGGTGATGGGAAAAATTCATTGAAATAAATCAGTTATCATTTTAATTCTTTGCTCGAAAAATCGATAAATATAAAATGCCAATTTTTTACGGTTGTAAACAAGGTCGAATATGCTTAATTGTAGTTATCTCCCTTGACGGAATTTGAAAGCGTCCTACCAGAAATGTCATTGAACACTCCCAACTATATCCTCGTAATAGACAGCGATAGTTTGGGCGCCAGAGACTATCCTCGTCATAGAAAGGTCAAAAAGCCTTTTTGTGTATTTAGACTGTACATATGGACATTTATGGTGAAAACTCTTAATTATATGCCATAAAAACAAAATGATGATAAGAATACACGATAATTCATTAGAAACACAAATTAATCAAGTAGTTTGCTTAACTTGACACCAAAACATAAGGAAACCCATATTTAACAAATGTGACTTTATCCTGAAGTAGTTGAGAAATACCCAAAGACTCGCTACCTGTGCTTAAAAACTATTATTGGGGTGACTGAGATTTTGTCCAAAAATGAGGATCTGGACATAACTAGCCGTGGATACCGGACATTAAATCTTTGATTTGTGAACATCAAGCTCAGGGCCCAAACTAAGAACTGTACCTCATTAAAAATAGCTGACGATATCTATATTGATTTTATTTTCGTAATAAAAATTGATGTTCAATAGATGTGAATAAAATTATTTACTTTTCAAGAGTATTGAAAGGGATCAGTGGCTTCTGGTAGTGTAGAGGTGGGACAGTATAACGACTTAACCTACACCCAGACCCTTGTCTACAGTATAACGACTTAACCTACACCTAGACCATTGTCTACAGTATAACGACTTAACCTACATCTAGACCATTGTCTACAGTATAACGACTTAACCTACACCTAGACCATTGTCTACAGTATAACGACTTAACCTACATCTAGACCCATGTCCACAGTATAACAACTTAACCCAACCCAGACCCTTGTCTACAGTATACCGACTTGATCTACACCCAGACCCTTGTCTACTACATAACTACTTTATCTACACCCTTGTCTACAGCATAACGGCTTAATCTACACCCATACACCTCTCCTTGCCCCAAGAAACCAATTTTTTACGTGCGATTTTTTAGACGTTTTTAATTTTTCTCATTTGGACCCACTATGTCGAAGAATTTGGGGAATATTTCAGCAATCTTAACTCTTACCACCCTTCTGTAAAATTAACTGCGAAAATAGCATAAACTTTTTAGATACAACCGTTTTTAAAGATACCAATTTTCCTGAAACCAATAAATTAGATATCAAAGTATGGTTTTTAACAAACCGATACCCACTAACTTTTGTTTAAACCATGTAATAGTTTTTCTTCCCGGTGGCAGATTCTCAAACAGTCTTACTCTCTTCATAAATGAAAAATTAACATGTAACAGCCAAAATATTATTTACCTCATTTCCTGTTCTCCTGTCTACAGTATAACGACTTAATCTACACCCAGACCCTTATCAACCGTATAACGACCTAATCTACACCAAGACCCATGTCTACAGTAGAACGACTTAATGTACATCCAAACCTTACACCCTCTTACCTGAATCAGAAACAGAATAATCTTTAAACTTTCCATTTCCCATACAATGATCAATGGGACGTAACTGTTAAATAACGACGGTTTAAATTTTAAGGAAAATACTTTTTTCAAACTTATTTTTCCGAACCATCATCTCTTTTATTTGTCCCAAAATCCGAAAGGAATAACAATTTTAGAAATCAAAATCCACATCGAGACTAAAAACAATGCATGAAAAAACGAAAAGAAAAGTTAATGTCTAAAAATAACCGACTACATTCGTAGAATGTTCCAGTAAGTCCATAATAGCTATAATCATAGAGTTATAAATAGCTGGGAAATACCCTTTCTATATCATTTGTCATCTATTGAAAGTGTTGGTAGTCCTAATTTATTAAACTATCTACCCAGTTAGATAACCCTCCGAATACAGGAGCAAAGTTTAGGAGTAAACAATATTTCTCTCCAGAAATATCATAAAGAACAGAAAAGGTAAGAATACGTTATACTTTACTCATTACTTAACGAAATCAGTCACGTAAATACTTCCTCAGTATTACACACATAATATGTATGTATGTATTATGTGTGAGAATAATAAGATATAATGAAACAAGGCGGACTTTGAAAGCATTATATTGGTTCTCGTCACCTTCATATCTTCCAGAATGTAAGAAACTGTAAGGGTATATAAGATTTCGGGGAGGAGAGGGTTTGCTTTGAGTATTCATACTCAATACTCATCCTTTTTTCAGTTTGCAGCGTGTAATTCTAGTGGTGATTTCTAGTAGTATCGAGTTAAAAATGGCAAAGGCACTAGATGACGATGAATTCATATTTCAACTTCAACTTGAAGAAATTAGGAAGGTTTCAAACCAGACAGGAGAAACCGATGTGCCTTGTGATCTCTTTCACGAGGTTATACCACCTGAACGGTCGTCACAAGTTCCAAGATTTTGTGATACACTGAGAAATGGTGGCAGAAGAAATAATTACCCCATCAAATTTGATGAAAATACAGCGTTAACCGATATTCCCAGAGAACGTTCAGAATTTCACGAATGTCTTGCGGATGACATGGAGCGTTATGTAAATAATGGTCAACTGACAATGTCTGATAGCATTTCTGTACAGTTAGATCCATATAGTCCAGAATCTCAAGGTTCTTTGAGTGAAATGAATGGAGCTGGATCTATGAATGAAAGATTTCTCATAGGAAAAAGAAAAGTACAGATACCTTCACCTATACAATACCCTAATGAAAATCCACATTGTGACCTGACAAAATTTGACAGTATGATAAGAGAACAGTTTAATTTTGTAACAGACAATGGTACTGACAGTATG